TGTAAAATGAGCTACTAAGTTTTATTTTTGTATTTTACACCATATGATTTCTGGATTGCATTAAATTAATTTCTTCGTCAATGTTATTGTCTAATTAAATGTTATGTGCTGACATTGCATAGACTTGACTCACATTTTAAGCACTCATCGACAGTCAATTTCAATGTTTAGTGCTTTACTCTTTTACTTTTTTAATCTTTTTATAAAGTTGACAGTCATGTATGCTTAAAATGTGAGTGCAATATCTGCCACATTAGCACTTAACGTCTAATTTGACAATAAAATTGACAGAAAGGTTAAATTAGTGCAATTAAAAAATCACATGATGTAAAAGGCAAAAACTGAATCTCGTGACTTATTGCAAATGACCCGCAAACCTTATGTGTAAAATGCAGTTAACCCTTTTAATTACTATAATGTCGTTAATTTTCTTTTCTTTTTCGTTTTTACCTTCATATGTTTGCTATTAGTTAAGGTATACAATGCAAGCATTTTGAGTAGTAGGTTATCTACTCCAGCGTTACCTCACTTACAAGATATAAACACTATTATAATCAACTGACTTAATCAATATTTGTCTTTATATAGTTAATCTAGTCTAGCTCTTTCCCCTTTAAAATAAGGAGCTTTAACGAAAAGCTCATGGTACTGTTCACTTTAACGAGAAAACCACATTTTTACACTAAAAAGTCAATCCTGGTACTATTTCACTTTACCCTTTATTTTATCCTTATTGTTAAAACTCAAAGTTTTCAAACATTTTTCATTAGTTTTTCTTTTAAAATAAACCAGCTAAGGTGAGTTTAAGACTTGTTTACTTTGTTGAATAAAGTAAAAGATTAATGTCTTATCAGCAAGGTAATTAAACAAAGATTTTCATACTACCATCTATTCTTTTTTGTAATTAGTTTCTAGCGAGTGTAGTGGGATATATATTTATTGTTTGTACAACTCCATATTCGCAACGATGAGAACAAGAAGATAACATAAATCAACATGATAATTGGTAGGAATCAATAATTTTTTTTCAAATCAGACAATCAAACATATTATGTTATTAAAAAAAATAAATCGGTACGAGCAATTTAAACAAATACTATGTAAACGACGTTTAGAGTAACAATCCTTTTTCATAGTTAATTAGGTATGCCACAACATGAAAAATTGTAACTTCCTCATCTGCTTATTTGTTCTATATAATTAGCACTAGATTTATGGTTGCCTTGCCTAAGATACGAAGCAAAAGTGTTACTTGATAGTTGGTAGGACAATTTTTCTTTTAAAAGACATTTAATCATATTATGAACTGTTTGTTTTTAAAATAATTGAAAATACTTTTTGTAAAAGTGATTTTCGGTTACAAAAACACTATAGACATTTTTTTGGAAGAAGCACCATATATGTGTTCTTGCATGGAACACTTAAAGTACTTTCCTATGATCCACTTGGATTTTTACTAAGGTTGATTTCAAAAACATTTTCACCAAAAGCTTCTCAATCATTCTTAAAACACTTCTAAATGAGCCATATGTTATCAAAATACGATCATTATAAGCCACGTATATACATAATTAAATAAGAGTATAGTTAATTAATGACTCAGATTAACAATCTCACATTTGATTAGGTACCACAACATGGGAAATTGCACCTTCATATGTCCTTGCCTAACTGTTGACTCTAAAAATTACAGAACCTACGTGGCGCGCAGGCCGAATAACTAATGAGCTAACTACTGTCATTCGGTTGAATGCAGGGCGTGCCAACTCGTCGGCCGAGCTCGGCCGAGGAGTAAAATTTGATGCGGTCGCGTTGAGCGCGCTGTTGACTTCTGTATCTTGCGATTGCGACCGAGGAAGGAACGCTCTCGGTCTCTGGATTCTATAGCCTGAAGACAAGGCTACTAATTCTGCGGAGTTCACAACTCGTCGAAGCCTGATTCGGCCACTGTGATTATATTCGTAAGAGTATAAGCACGCCGAATTGAGACCAAACTATACGGGCACAGGTACTCGAATGTGATGTATGTCTTGATGGTACACGTAGTTCGGCCGTCGGAATGCCGAACCCTGAAACTTACTTGTGAGTATCCAATCATAAACTCACTCGGCCTCCAATGCGCCGAGCAAGGCAACTCGTAACACCCAACTATGCCGAAACGGCTTAGTAAGATGACCTCTACCAACAAAGGTTCGAAAACCTTCCTCGGCCGAGACTTAGATAGATAATCGATCGACCTCGACGCAGTGCTGTTTATCCAAACTGAAGGTGTGTCTCGGTCGGCTGATTCTGCGGCAGCAGTGCTGTTTATCCAAACTGAAGGTGCTCACCGGTTGCTTCCACAGTGCTGTTTATCCAAACTGAAGGTGTGTCGGCGGGAAAAGAAAAGGAAAAATCTCAAGGTGTTTGAGAGAATTTGCGCAGGGCAATTGTATGCTGAATTGAAGGGGTCCTTTCTATTGAGTAATTTCTTGTATTTATAGCACCTCGCTCCTTGATTCCCATTCTGATTTGGATTGGGAGTCCTTGTCCCATCTCACCTTTAACTCAAACAATCCCAGTCCTATTGGGATTCTGAATTCTCCTACTTTTGAGGTTTTATCCCTTGCCGGTCGAGAATCCTGGTTGCGTCAGGATCTCCTCGACCTTTCCTCGTTTATCTGGACTACTTAAGATAGGATCTGGCCGACCCTGCCAGCTGGTCCGAATCTCATTATTTGGCCCATAACATGCGTTATTACCTTGGGCCGAGCACATCCTGCTGCTCGGCCCAATCCTAATATTTTGGGCCCAAACACTAACATACAAAAAGTGTCACTTGAAAGATTTTAACAACAAGACATACATGCAAATACAAGTTATGGAGTATGGAGAAGATCAAGCATCGGATTTAGCATGAGTTGTTCCTATCCAGCATTAGATTTAACTTGGTGAGAGCTTCTTCTTTGCACCACTCAAAAACTGACATTCTTATATCACACCTCCAAAGAATATATATCCCGCCTTCTTGTTTTTTCCCGCAACACCTAGCTATTTGCATGACAGTCAGAAATTCAAATTATTATATGGGCAGGGATGTGATGATAAGGTTACCAAAACAAGAAAACACAAAACAAAATAAAACTGAAAACAAGCATACAAGACATATTCTCCGTCTGAAATTATATAAAGCTGAAGAAGGCAAATGCAGGTGGGTTTGTTTTCCTTTATTAAGCTTGTAGACTCTCAAACGGGTTCGTAATAATCCATCATGTTCGTGTCAATACCATGACTGATCAATTTTTCAGCATACTCGAACAATACCTTTTTTGAGAAGAAAATCTCAACGATATCAGAGGAATTTTATTGATAAGAAAATCTCGACGATATGACGGTATTAGTAGGACATAAACTTTACCCTTCATAAAATAAAAGGAAAAAACAAACATGAAAAAGACGAGAGGACATAAACCCTAGCCCTATAGAAATGAAAACAATAAAGATACAAAGAAAAGAGGGGGGACATGAAACCTAACCCTCTGAAGCCAAACAAAAAAGTCTAAACCTGCAAAATAAGTCGAACAACACCACAAGGTTAGGAAAAAACAAGAAAATGAGACAAACATGCATGGTTGAGATGTACATTAATTTGAGAAGCGAAAGTCAAGTAAGCCGACATAGCTCGAAAACAATGCAGCACGAGCCGTTGGCAGAGGATAATCATGCCATATTAAAGTTGGAGAAGACAAGCCCCTATTAGAGTATTATACTTAAACTATATTGTACGTAATGTTATTATTTCATTCAAACTATGATATGGATCTTATTAATATATATTAGAAATGTGACATATCAACTGCTTATATTATAACACATAAAATGATAATACATCGTAACTATATTTATGCTACACAATAATTTTCCTTGATCACTCAAGGACATTATTTTTTGACACAAAATTTCACAGTTTTTATTGGGGTTTACGACGATAAATGATAATTTGTGCAGGTGCAAAGAAATGAGTTTTGGGACCACGCCAAATTTCAGAGCTGGAATGGTACCTATCGTTGATAATGACGGTCCATTTTCAAAATCAACGACCTTGATTGCTTCAAAATTTCAGAAATTGGATTGCATAGAGTGGCAGTGGTGGAGTTCACTCATTCACAGTGCCCGTACACTTGTGTCATTGTTATCAGTTGCAGAAGATCATCTCTTCAAATTCTTGACCGTTAAATTTTAACAGTTGAATTTTTAACCTAGTTTCTAAGAGCTAAGAACCGCATTACGTAGGATACACTGGAGCATACGAAATAGTCCAACAAAATAATATATTTGGAGCTTAGCATATGTCCATATATAATTGACAGAAGATGCTTAATTTTCAGTGTACCTTTTTTCATGCAGTATATTTTAATTTTTAACAACAATTTGATGATGTCTTGACGGTCCACATAAAATTATTAATTTGTCTTACGTATTATGACATATTCAATCTGCCATCAAGAGTTACCAAAGATTTCCAATAATAGCAAACATGACTTTTAATAAATTATATCACATTATTCATCGCATCTCTTTTATAGGTAAAATTTACTCAGACAAGTAGGTGAGTTATAGATAGATTTTATTAACTTCGACGAGAAGTGTAACATAATGAGATAGATCTCAAATCTGCGAAAATTGTGACTGATAAATGTGGTATCTGACATTACTAAAATAGAAATTAACCCTCCTATAGTAATCCTACTCTAATTAACATGCATTTGGAAATGGGAAATGGGAAATGGGAAACTGTAAACTCACACACACGATTGCAATCTTCACGCGAAAGTGAGATTTTCAATGGGTTGGAAACACGATCTGGTACATCAAGTGTTATAATATAATTTGTTTAAAACTTAAAAAAAGATTAATCAATTATATTATGAAATTTAGTGTACCAAGTTATGTTATCATGAAAAATTTCTCTACAAAATTTGAGAGAGAGAGAGAGAGAGAGAGAGAGAGAGAGAGAGAGAGAGAGTTTAAGCTTTTTCACTATCATTTCTACTACTACTAGTATACATATGTTCTGATTTTCCATTGAATAAAAAAAACAACTAATTAACTGGCGAAGATGAAGCATCATCTTCGTCGTCCTCGTCAGCTTCTTCTTCCTCAATCTGATCTTCTTCACCTTCTAACAATGAAGATAAACAAGGAGTAGTGGCAGTACTTTCAGACTCTTCTTCTATGGAGGAAACACAAGGAGTAGTAGCAGAAGAAGAAGACGACGACAGCGACGAAGAAGAAGTAGTAATACTATTGTAAAAATTAGATAAGGGAGAAGAAGGAGAGTTAATAACACAAGAACAAGAATTACTACTAGTGGTGGTAAATGCTAGACCTACCAAGAGATCAACAAAAGCTCCAACAATATATCCATGATTGCCCTTACCATTCACCCTCAAGTACCAGCACAAAAGCTCTTCAAGATTTTCCCAGTCCTTCAAACCATGAGCTTCCACCATTTCCTCCATAGATTTTCTAAAATCCACAATCGGGTCTGCCGAGTCCATTGACAGAGCCACGCTCTCCTTGAATGGAATGACATTATTAACCCCATTACCACCATCATCATATGGTGCTGCCGGCGCCGCCTCCACTAGCACAGAGCTTGTCTGACCAGCTGGCTCAAAGAAGAGCCTCTCTGACCTCAACCCTTTAATCACACTCTCTATTGCGTCCCCTCCTCCTGCTCCTCCACCGCCTCTAGAATCTTTAGAGGCGGTGGTGAAGCTGGGACACTCGTAAGATGACGAGTTCGTGAAGACCGAGTCTGGTGTGCTATCCACCAACGCCAAATCTGTTGTAGGGTTTGTAGTGTCGAAGTAGGCTGAGTTTATGGTCTTGAAAATATCATTGCCAGTTCTGAAAGAAATGGTTCTGGTTTGAGTACAAGAAGGCCAAGGCCATGAGGAGGAAGAAGAAGAGGAAGATCTTGATATCTCTGATGTGTTCTTGGAGAGAAAAGGGAGCTTCATTTTCTTGCCCATCTGAAAAAAAAAATTCCTGGTTTTGTTGGAGGGATAGGGGAGAAGAAATGAGGCTTTTTTCAAAACTTTGAAATATGAATTTTTGGAGCTGTCAAATGTGGCATTGATGGAGAGTCAGAGGGGAGGGATGTGGGGGGTGGAAGATTATTTAAAGGATTGAGACAAAAGGAAAAAAAAAAAAAATTCATAGTACTGTTCACTTTAACGAAAAATCATATTTTTACACTAAAAAGTTAATTCTGATACTATTTATTTTACTTTTTATTTTGTTATTTTCATTAAAACTCAAAGTTTTCAAGCAATTTTCATTAGTTTTCCATAAATAAAATGGGGGTTGGGGGAAGTTGTGGAATAAGGGAAGAGATCCCCTCTTGGACCTCTCCCACCAAAACTTAGGGATCCTTAAAATTTGATTCAACGGCTACAAACAGGGGACCTTTCTAAAAGTTATAATAATTGTAGCCGTTGGATCAAATTTCAAGATAAATTTGAACTACATTATTATGGGTAGTCCGATGTGAGACTTAGTCCATTCCCCACTTTCTTAATGTAGATAATATAATTTATTAAGAAAAAAAAATAAAAAAGGGGAAGTGGAGAAGTTTTTTAGCATGTTGGAAGCACGACTCAATACACTAAGTGTCGTAATATAAGTGGTTGAAACTTTTTCTTTTTAAGTATTCAACCATTTGTATTATAACATTTGTTGTACCATACCGTGTTACACCGAAAAAACCTCTCTAACTGATGGGGTCATTTTACTCCTTTGTGTTATATTTATCTATATAAAAACAACTTTTAAATTTAATGTTTATTCCATGTTTGGTCATAATTTGTTGTGTTTCAGTTGAGCTCATTGAATAGTATGGTACAGGTTATGTAGAGTGCTTTTATTTCCTAACAGTCATTTATTAAGTGACTTGAAAGAAAAAGAAAGTCTTCTTTTAAGGACATTATTATTTAGCTGTTCACATGTTCGGAGTTATTACTCTCGGGTACCTATGCATATGTAACTCGTGAAAATCATAAAAATAAAAGTTTATACATAAGTGTTAAAACGCTACTTGTCTAGAAGGATTTGAAGTGTTTTCCCTTTTTCTTAGGTACGTTTGATGTAACTCCTTTCCACAACCTATCATGTTGCATATCCTTACACAAATTTGAATGTGTAACTACATTGTTTGCCATAGCACTTGAGCTACAAGCGATACTGGGTGAATTTCTAATTGAATACAAGGCACAAGCACATGCATACGAAGTCCTGTGTAGCGATATTGGCCTGGCTAGCATTACTCTATACGAAAATATCCACAAAGTAACTCTCTATCACGTGCCTTCGCCCCAAACATTACAGCGACAAGATTGAGACCCTAGAGAGAGAGAGAGAGAGAGAGAGAGAGAGAGAGAGAGAGAGAGAGAGTGAGAGAGTGAGAGAGTCATTTATTACTTCATATCTTTCTCATGGATTGGTGGGAATTCTCATCTCTCTCCTCACAACAATAAGGAAAGATCAATCAATGAGAGAGGGGAACAACTGCCAATTGTCATGGCAGGAGTTGTATGAACCCTTCAACAGTTGTTTATGTGCGTTTAATTTCTGTGTATTTAGAATCAGATTATCTGAGTTTGATAATTATAACACTGTTATTATAGTTGATTCTTATAACGTTGTTTTTGTAGCGTTGAGATCAATTTGATTCATGTAACATTGCTTTTGCTGTTGAAACTTAATTCTGAATAATTTTGTTTTTGTGGTGGTGGATAACACCATATAGCTGTAAGAAGTGTATTAGGTAAAGAAACACTCATAAGCAGTGTTTGAAATTTTTTCGATACAGTCGATATTTCTGTAGGAATATCGGAAAAATCAGAGAAAGATACAAAGGGGGTGTTGTAGTCTAAACTTCATCCCATATGGGAGAAATTTTTAAATTTCGCCTAAAATTGACAGATTTCGTCGATATTTCCAATATATTGTTTAAATATTGGAGAAATTGTTATATTTCATTTAAATCAGTATTTAAAATTCCTTAAAATTTCATTTTAAATTTACATCATTTGCATTGAAAACAACCGATATCAATATTTCGATATTTCTATCGATATCGATATTTTAAACATTGCTCATCAGACTCATATACTAAAGGGAACTTTAACGAAAAACTCCTGATATTGTTCACTTTAACGAAAAACTACATTTTTACACTAAAAAGTCAATCATAGTACTATTCACTTTACCCTTTATTTTGTCCTTATTGTTAAATCTCAAAGTTTTAAACCATTTTCATTAGTTTTTCTTATACTAAATTCACGACTAAACTAGACTCATAAATTTTGGCCCACAATACAGAAGAGTCCTGGACCCTTGAATTTAATGGTGCATTTGGTTTGTTCTACGCCTCCAAAAGTAGGTCACATCCATCGGTTTAAAAGTTTAAACTCATTTTCCTAAGTTGTACTTGTGCATAGGATTCAACTATTAAGTCAATCCTAAGGTTGACATCTACTGATCTTTGTTGACACACCATGCCCATATCAACTATATAGTATAGTATATGCTGGTCCACAACAACTACATATGCAATGCAAGCACCACAAATTCGATAGCTAGTTGTCATTGATTGAGAATGCTTAAAATTTAGTTGAGGAGATCTCAAATTCGACTCAAATGAATAAAACGGAATGTTTGCCTAGTGAAAAACGTGTTCATTCTCTTCGCTCAACGCGTGAGTTCGAGCCACCACCAAAGCATTCGGTAATGTTAAACCTAGGTATTTGCACAATTATGTGCGTAGTTGTTCTCTTGTTAGACTCAAATAGTACGTTAATTCAACGAACTGAAAAAAGTGGCCCATTACATTAATTATGGAGCCCAATGCTCTCGGGTGGGTCCGTAAGGTGTCTATCCTGCTTACCCATTGTAGCAGCGTAACTTTGTTATGAATAAACTTTCTCTTTCTAAATATCTGACCATTTGTTATGTAAAAAAAATAAAATCCTCGATTTAACATAACATGTTAAATTGTTTGATCCTTTATCCTTATATGGTATTGCACTGACAAAGAAATAGAGTATGCATAGGAGGGTCCATTGCATTAATCTGAATTGTGTAAGTGGTCCTTTAACTATATCCACAAAAAGATGTTTAACCTAACAATGATAAGATGCTCAATTCACAAAACTTTACCTACACCAAGCAACACAACAGTATAATACAGCTAATCATACCCCACTTTTCTTGTGACTCACCTCCCCCGTGGCCATTCCCTCCCCTCTCCCGCTCGCATGGGTCATGGACTCATGGCCCTGGTTCTTGGAACCTAATCCAATCAAGCGTGACATTGACAGAACTAAACTGCTGAAAGGACGCTAAGCAATTCCAAGACAAAACTAAGTACTGTTCTGCAGCTTTACATCTTCAATTATAATGCAAAAACAAGCATTTGATAGCATTTTTACTAAATACATCCTTCTTCTCCTCTTACATCCCCATTTAATCTCGACTGATATTTTCGTTTGATTTATTGAATTTAATTCTGACAAACGAATCGTATTTATCATGCTCGTGTCATATCATTTATCCTAATAGATTTTGTCGTGTCAAACTCGTTATCTTAACAGATTCTTAACAAGTGACGCAGTAACGACCCGATTCGTTAACGGATTGTGTCGTTTCGTGTCTAGATTTCGCAAACGAATGTCTTATCGGGTTCTTAACAATAACTCAATAATGACTCGACATGTTAATGTGTTCTTAACTAATTAACAAATAACGACCAGACTCGTTAACAAGTTGACCAGAAACCCATTGTGTTAGTGTCGTTTCGTGGCCTAATTGGATCTAATGGTTGATTGTAAAAGACTTGTGTGAAAGGGTAAAAGGGTGTGTAAAAGTTAGCTCCCTATCAAAGAGAAAAAAAAAAAAAAAAAACCTGAACCTTGTAATGAGAAAAGGCCACCAAAACAACTTCATAACTAAGAATCAATAACAAGGATGACAAAACAAACTTAAACCCTTTTTTTTTTCTCTTCGAATATAATTTGTTTTCGGAAAATTTTTCTGTGGAGGTAGGGTTTGGGAGGAGGGCCACCTTATCCTTCTGAATCCTTGTCTTATGGGGACCAAAATTTACAGCTTGTGGTGCACAAGAAATGCAAGAGCACATGCAGTTGATGTGGCTTTTGATTAAGAAACTCCTAACTGTACTTTGGCTGCTTTGATTTTACATTTCTAATTAATGGGATGGAGATGCATTGTGTGTGTGGCCATGTGGGTGGCTTCGCCATAATTTTCGAGTACTCGACGAAATAAACGGACAAGTCATAACACAACTGCAGTTTTATAGCAAAGAACAGGAGGACATCAATCATTGTACAATTTCATCCTAAACATCAGTAATGTTTTCTCTGTCTGTCTTTCCATAGAAACACGCGAGAATAATTCACTAAGTGCTGAAGGTAGGGCGTATGTTAAGGGTGCTATTTCTTGTCCTCCCGGCAAACATTTAGCTCAATAACTCAAGGGAGATTCAAGATACAGTACCATTGCTTCTGGAAAAGTAACAAAATAGCTAGGCTAAGTTAATTACTCAGTCCAGTTGTAGATTGTTACCTTTTTCATTTGACCGTCCATGGTGTTCATCTTCGCTGATATCCCTAATCCTAGCGCAACCAAACATCTTTCTTCAGAACAAGTCGCAAACATCTGATTCCACATCTTGTCTAATCTGGCCAGTGGAGAATAAAAAAGGATCATTAATCACAGATCAATGACAGTTCCAAGCGGAGGAAAACATCATTAAGCAAAACAAACAGAAAACAAGTGCCACAGTTGTCATGTAAGTTGATCGAAACAATTTCTTGATTACAACTGCAGCCCCACCCAAAATTTTTAGGGGAACATTCCCATTAATATCGGACCCTGTCCCTAATGGAAAAGACCGACCATCCCTCATCCCTCCCTTTATCCCCCACACAGCTCACTTGTGGCTTCAACTTATTCATAGGAAGAAGAAAAAAATCAAGTTATTCGTAACCAAAACATTTTTGTAAGCATATATAAGAATCCTGCAACAAATATCTGAGACTCAGCTTACCTTAAGGATCAAAGTGACCATGTATACCAATACGTCAAACCCGAAAAGTAATGAAAATGCTCTAATAGAAGTAAAAGTATATCCCATTTACGTAAACTGACTGCTGCTTATGTACCACAAAAATCAGTGACAGTCTACCGATATCTTTTTCCGTATAAGGAGATGGTCCGGTTCTCTGTAGTCTATATGCAGCACCTGCACAATTTTGGCATCCATTACAAACATGTCATCAATCATTTTTCACCCTTTGCACTTCCACATGAAAGCGTGCAGCTGCTGATCCCGTCCAATTCTTACTGCAATGTTTGGATCTCTGCATTTTGGAGAAACAAATAAGCATGAAAATAGAGTGTACAACTTAGCACCAGCCACGACTCTAGTGCCCTGATACTCCAGGCACCAATATAATTTGGTACCTCTGTTGAATGTGATGCGATATTGAAAGCAATACTACGGCAACCAACATGGCCACACTGCACATAAATACAAAAACATATGTTGAAAGACAATTGGAAGAATGGGATCCAGCTACTCTGCAGTTCCCATGCTAATGGAGAAAGCTAGTTGAATCCAAACAATAGAAATGTGGCACATCCGAATTCAACGGGCCAGCGCCTTGTGATGGTTCAACTTCAGCTAAAGAAATGGTCCTCTACATTTGTTGTACAAGTGGAGATTCTTTTCCAACTTAATACAGTTTTTCTTGATGCAATACTTACCCATGCAGGACAAGGCTGGTTGAAATCCAAGTGTGGTTGAATCAATGGGGCTGGCAAAATTTGAAGGTCCAAAATAAAGAACTGATCATTCTCATTTGTTGTCAAAGTGCAGAGTCATTTTCCATCTTAATAGATTAATGGTTCCGGATCAGCACAAATTTCCTTGGTGAGTACTGAGGCGCAAACCATCGTACCTAAATGAATCTGATTCTAAGTAGCAACAAAACCCAAGCACAAGCACAAGGAAATGGCTTGAATTATAACAAAACCTGAACTTGTGATCAGAATAACAGTCAAAACCCAACAGATATGAGGAAAAATAATTAACGCAAGGGTTTTAGTTACCTTCAACTGCTAAACCAAATTACAGGAACCTTTCAACTATGGGTAAAAGTAGCTGAAGGTTTTGAAAGTTAGGTAATCTACCAGAAGCGTAAGATCAAATCTGGGGTAAATAAATCCAAGTGTGCAAGAAAGGCTACCTTAATTTACCCTAGCATCAATATTTGACTGAAGAAGAAAAAAAGATAAATGTTTTAAGTCACAGATATGAACGTGCTGTGCAGAGTACTTCAAGATATATCCACAGAAGACAGTCAAGGACCCCTCAGAACAATAACTCTGTTAACAAGATAGAGATTACAGAAAGCAAGCAGACTATATATGAACTAAGATTTATGGAGTTAAATGTGACCATAAAAAGTAATAACAGTTAAAAAAGAACCGTCTGCATTTAGAATCAATCGAAAATAACCATGTTTATGGAGCTAAATGTGATAGAAAAAGATATAGTTGACAGGCCTGGTGGAAAAAGATATAGACTTGGGCTCCCTCCCGCTACTAAAACTAGACCAAAACGTAAAAAGATGTTGACTACAAATAGCAGGACCTGATAGAAGACCACATCAAATTTAGCTTCAAATTAAAAAAATATTCACTTCCTAAGTAGATGGCATGCTCAAAAAATCAACCTGTTTATGGTACAGAATTGACACACACAAATGCATATATGGATTGCCTGCATGGATAATCACACAGGTGCATGTGTATAGATATCATATATAAATTCTACAACTTTAGTCAGAAACATTCAGTGCTGTTGCTCCAGTCAAAACCAGTCAAGTCCACAACTGTCCATTTCATGTTTATTTTTATCAAGTGTTTTAATTTTCAATATAGGATACACCTGTATCGAAATATATGTGAATGTATAATTGTATGTGGGGGGTGGGGGGGGGGGTTACCTGAGGAAAAGGTACAGTGCTAGACGTAACTCAAAACCAATTGGCCACAGAAATTCAAAGAAAATTGACAGAATCCGAAACTACCATTCTTACAAGCCAAGTAAGAAGGATCACGAACTAGAAGGAAACCCCATGTGTCACAAGCCATGACCTTTTAACTTATCATGCTGATGACTAGAAAAGTCAGAATGCATATGTAACGTAAGTTAAACCCCAAGTACTAAACAATATACTGATATGGATGAAAGTTCAACACCAATTCAAGATGCGACAACAGATTTTTATTGATAGCAATAGCTAAGGGTATTGTGAAGTAAGGGGAGAGCCATTATCAGTTCTGAACACATCATTAGAGAAGCAATGATATATTTGCAGACATTAAAATCATGTGTCACAAGCAATGGTCTTTAACTGCTCATGCCAACGACCAGAAAATTCAGAAGGCATATTTATGGAAGTTAAACTCAACTACTAGACATCATAATGACATGAGGATGAGGATACAAACCATAAAAAGTGGTTATGTTCTTTCTTTGTGTGTATGGACAACGCAATAGATGATACAATCTGCATTTGTATATAACAGAAATGAGAATGAGGATGAGGAGGCAGGTAGACTATCACCAAGAGCCTTCATTTGCCTCCATTGTGGTATAACAGGACGTTGCTTTTGTAGTCAAAAGGAAACCTGTTAATAACTCATATCCCCAAATTCCAGATGCAACACTCCTGGAAAGATGATCAGTCATCAAACCAATCAAATCACTATCATCGAAGTTAGTTTTTATACTAGAGCTTTCTATTGCAGTGTTTTCATACTGGAACTATTGCTTTCGCTACTATTTCCAATTCTGCCACAAATCTAATCCTAGCTGCTGGAATGCATTAACCGATAAATTGCTATAGGAGTCAACATAAATATCAAATGTAACGCATCACAGATGTATGATCCAGATTAGTAACGAAACAACAATTGAAAATTAACTGTTATAGGACAATTTCATTGTAGGGAACAGGTGAGGTTTTCTGATACATAATAATCATTCATCTTCCAATAGTTTTGGAAGTCAATAGGCAACTGGAAGGAAAGAGCATATAATTGACATTACAAGATGTGGTCCATATAGAATGAACTATTACAACTACATTGTGAGCAGAGGCTGAAAGGCTGCTTGCTAGTCTTCTGGCCTTGATAGGAACCACAATATTGACTACGTTCAATGATTGACCGAGTCATACACATAATCTCACACTATGTTTACTGACGTCATTAACTAGCGCACTAAGTTCAATCAAGTATTAAATGGTTTAACTGATTTGTTCACATTACTGATAACTACATTTTCCCTTTTGACCGCCATAGCCATATTCCACTCTCGACAACCTTACCAAAAGTCCAAGCATTCTTAAAGAATTCAATCATCTAACTAGTCGACAACAATAGAGGTATACAATTCCTATGACAATGACCTGCTTCAGGAACCCATTTAATACTTGAAAAGTATTAACTGTTTCTGTTGTTTTTATGTACCAAGAGAATCCAGCTTCAGGAACCCATTCAACCCATCAGAATTCTCTTCTAATCACTTATATATACTCTAAAACAATTCATATAGAACCCCTACAAAAGACCAATTAACCTTCCCTTTCTCTATAATCCCGAATTCGACAGTCTACACTCCAGTGGAAAATTCCGAATTTGCTAAACCCACAACCCCACCACACCACAATCCTTTTTCCAAACATCTCCAAAGTTCCTAATTCTATAAGCTTCCAAACCCATCAATTATCACAAACAGATATGCACAAAAGTAAATTAAGGATCAGAAATACCAAAAGATCGAATGCAAAACCAACAACTGCGAAGAATTAATAAGAGCCTAATAATATTGATGAAACCAAGTCATGTGTACAAAATTTACTTAAAAGAGAGAGAAATCTATAAGCAATAGATTCCAATGAAAATATCAAGAAACCTCTAGACCATACAAAATGCCAGCATACTGCTCGATCCCATTCTTCGGAAAGTAGACCTCTCTGATCCTCTGGAACGCGTGCAGGGTCAGCAGGCTATCCGACCCGGCCTGGTGGCTCTTACCGGCAACCCGCTCCACATTCAGTGTCTGGCAGACCCGGTCCAACCCACCATAGAGGCTGGCGCAGAACCTCGTCAGGTGCTTCACGTCGTACACTCCAGACCCAAAGAAAATCCTCACGTAATTCAAGAACACCGACAACTCGTCCGGCAAGACTCGCTGAGTCAACACCTTGACCAGGTACCCAAAATCGTAGACGCTATGGAACGTGACCCAGTTAACGGCATCGTTGCAGACGAGCCCCGACGACATCATCAGCGCCGCGAACCGAACCGAGTCTACCCCGAAATCCCGGTTCCGCTCGAAATCGATTCCCTGCCGGCGAAGCAACTCTACAGAATCGTGCGCGTGGGCGTCCCGCGCGACGTCGAAGTCCCGGAAATTGAATTCCCAGATATACAGATTCTTGGTCCCCAAATCCGGCAGATTCCCACTGTCGTCCGAGAGGGTGAGGCCCACCTGGATCAGATTGAGGCGATCGACGTTGGCCTTGAGCATGAGGTAGTGCGCGGCGGGTTCGCGGTGGCGGAAATTGGGGTCATTAGGGTCGAGTCGGACCACGACGCCCGGGAACTCGGTGTCCATGGAAATCAAGGGGAAATCGTCGATGACGGATCGAATCAGTTCGAACTCGGACTCGAGGTTATCGGACCATACCGAACGGATCAGGATGTCTCGCGGCGACGGAGGCTTGGGTGGCGGGGGGCCGGATGATGACATCGCATAGGTTCGTCCAGATCGGATTGCGAAATCGGATCCGAATCGACGATTGTTTGTTACTGAAATTAAATAATCAATAAAAACGATGGCGGAATTTGGTTAGGGTTTGATGGATGATTTTGAAAGAGGAACAAGAAAAAAGGGGGCCGTTTTATACAGAATCGATAGTTTAGAGAGAGAAAGTAGAGGGAGGGAGACGTGAGACGTGGGGCAATCGTGTATTTTTAATAATTTATTAACCTTTGTTCTCTGATTTGTTGCGGAATACTAGTTTTTATTTATTTTTTATATTTTTATTAGAATTAAAAAAATGTTTGGTGATTGGTTAGTTTATATTTTATTTTGTGAATATTGTATGACTGAAAATTAGACTTGAGAGAAAAATAAATAGCTAAAGTAGGGAGGTGGTGGGGCCCAAAAACTGTGGGCCCACTTGGGTTTGTCGTGTTGTGGCTGAGTCCAAAGTGATTAGTATAGAGATTTTTCAATGTGACTAGAACACGAGGTTGTATACTACGTGTTACTATAGCAATAGTAGAATATGTATCCTAAAAAGTTAATAACTTTAAAAATACAATTTCCGACCAATTATATAAAGACACGTGGTCTACCATCTATATTCCCGTCACAATAAAAAAAAATCTGATTAGTGGGGTGAATTGGGTGACGTGGACATATAAAACAGGTGTGTAGTTAATTATTAAGTGCAATTTATCCAAATAATACATTGAAAATTTGAAGAATCATATGATCAGTCGTCTGCATGTTGATTATGTCTCGAACTTGTCTATTCATACTTGTGAGATATACAAAATAGAACGAAGGTGTTGCCCTACACATATGAATGCCACTATCATTTAGGCATATTGGTGATGTACATGGTGTCACAATAAAACCGACGATAGGATTGAAGTAAGAGTTATGGATCTCCTAAAAGAAACGAAAGCCGAACCTTCTGTTCAAAATTTTCCGTTAGAAGTTTTAGTAGAACGAAAATAATAAGAATCAAAATTTCCAATCCAACTTGTGTTTTTAATTGCGAATGAGAGTGGAAAACAAAACTAAGAGTTTATTCGGCACTAACAGAAGAAAGAAATAAAGACAAAACATACGTAGAAGAAGCTTTTGACTTTGACAAGTCGGCAGTGTGTTGGACAATGCAAAAAATGTGCTCAGAAATTAACAAGGTAAAGTCGGCACTGAATGTGAAAGACGTGTGCCAAAATTGCCAATTAATAAAATAAAGTATTTTTCCAAGTTGTCACATGCTTTGTTACCTCGTGTTTGAGCTGTTGCTGACTCATTCTTCATGGATTTGTACTTTTCCGGCTAGTTTATAACATAAAAACTTAAATAATATGAATTTAAGAGTTTTAACAAAAAATTCGCGGTACTGTTTATTTTAACGAAAAATCACATTTTTACACTAAAAAGTCAAACCGGATACTATTCACTTTACCCTTTATTTTGCCCTTATCGTTAAAACTCAAAGTTTTCAAGCCATTTTCATTAGTTTTCCTTATGAATTTACCATTATTGTGACGTTTCATGTGAATAATTTGCATCATGTGACAAAAAGCTTACACATACTATTTTTTTTATATGAAGCGCCACAATAACGGTATACTGTTGAAATATCTTACATCGACCGTATATATGAAAAAATAATAGCTTAAATATCCTAACTCCACTCTAACTATATCATGCAAGTAGGGCCTTCTGTCTCTCTGATAATTCTACATGTACCAAGGCCACCGAATCAAGTGATTTATGCCTTTAAAATTTCATCTAACGGCAAAAAATTACTATAGCTTTTAAGGGATCAAAACAAGTAGGCTGTTAGATGAAATTTCGAAAGTTCGTATCACTTCATCCGGTGACCTTGGTGGAAGAGATCTGGAGATGATCTCTTCTCTGAAATGGAGAGCATAAGTCCAACACCAAGCAACAAATACTAGATATTGGAAAAGGATACTCGTTGGATCCTTTTCCTAAAGATCTCATGATCATGGCCGTATATCGTGCGATCAGTTTTCGTTAGGTATTATTTATATTTAATTTTAAATTTTAAATTTTAAATTATTTCTAATTGCACAATGTACGATAAATGAACGAAGAAAAATGATCCGTTTTCCCTATATATTTGCCAGCAAACAAGTTGTGATGATTGGGTCACCTAACTGTACACGTTTTAGGATACATCCCACTTAGTTGCAAAAACCCAAATTCAATCAATGCTGACCAAAATTTTGAATTATTATTCACAGCTAAGCTCTTGATTCACGTATAAGCAACAATACATAAACATATATATATATATATATATATGTATATGTCCAGAATAAATTGAATAATTTACTAAATTCAGGTTATATTGATATTTTAAGAAGGAAACAAAGACCAACATCTAAATTTTATTTCAAGTTAAAGCCGAAAGACGAATTACTTAAAAAGTGTTGATATTTTAACGACTAATATATCTTCCACCTATAATACACATTGAATCTAACGAGTTTTCAATACATGCCTAATCACCAAACGTTGCATGCTTCGGATCAAATTTGTGTCGAAATCCAAATCCATTATTTTAGGAAAGTGTTCATCTCTGGATCCCTTTCTCCTAATCCACCAAGTCCGGGGATACGGGTCATTGAAATTTGATTTAACGGCTAAAGTTATAACTTTTAAAGTGAGCCCCTGTTGGATCAAATCGGATTCTTGAACTTGATGAATTAGGAGAAAAGGATCCAAAGAGGATCCCTTTCCATTATTTTAAATCCTTTAGTATCCAAAAAACCTTTAACCTCCAACACTAGTTGAGATTTGAACAACAAAAAATTTGCGTCTTGATATTTTTTTTTTTTAAATTTGGAAATGAGATTTGAACAAACAAAATCTGTCAATTTCCCTACAAAACAGTTGAATATCCTACATTAGTTGGCGTCATTGTCGAAAAACACAAAACATATACCCTCAGGTTAGCTCGAGTGGTGAGGGAGAGCGAAGGACGAGTTAGAACAATGATAGATCCAGAGTTCGAATTCCTTCAATATAACCCAAAAAAACACACAAAACACATCCTAAAGAGACCATTGGAATCTACAAAGTGACATTACAAGATTTTCATCGAAACCTCGAAAAAAAAAGGATAAGGGAGGACAAAATGACTAAAGCAGCCGCAAGGGAGTAAACAACCAATTCAGAAAATTGTTGAACGCATCATCTGCAAGTTACAATTGGCAATTGCTAACCAAATGGAGGCTCAAACTGATTACAACAAGATCGTGGTAGATGGTGATCGGACCTCAGTTGTCTTGAAATCCCACTACTATACATCTCAAACAATTTACTTTGGACTAACGCACAGATAACAGACGAAATATACAGTTACCTTTTAACAACACAATGAGTACCCGATTCAAAGCTAAACACGCTTACAACCGCAATTTTCATTCATGGAACAAGGTGTTTGATTTACCGGCCCACTTTTAAAACATACTGCTTGCAATTTGATAAATTTTACCCTCAAATTAACAAAAAGAAATAGAAAAAATCAGAACGAATAAGATGAAAGATGAGTATATATACAGATAAAGGGTAGAAGATTCCACTTAAAGGGTATGTTAAACGTTTGACACACACCAAATCCCATTAATGAAACAGCATCCCTTCAACACAGTTCGACAAAACAAGAAATCAAAACAAAGGCGAAGCCATGGAGAGGTAACAGGAGAAACTTTTTGGGCACTCCCCTGCGTGTTCTTAACATAGGATCAACGAGGGCATTACAAGCTATATATTGCATATTGCAGATGCAATTTGATCCATGATGATAACTATACGGTCTTGAAAGCTAGAAGTAGGTACCTTCTGGAGGCTGGACCAACTTCCGGTTATGTGGGGCAGCCATCTCCTTTTTCAGTTGTGTAAGTATATCCTCCATGGTGTACTCTCGCTGCCAGTTTGCAAGAAGTCCAAACTTCTTCGGTTCCACCTATCAGATATGATGCACTCAGATATTGTCAAATCAAATATCACTAATTATATCCATGCAGACTGAATTTTCAATAGTCAGACACCAGGTCCAAAAGTCACAGGTTTACTGTTCTTATAATCATACTCAAAATCTTTACAATCCCGTGATTGTTTGTGATAGTGATTGTAAATGACCATAAAGTATCTTAATTCTTCTTTGCCCCAAAACAAAAGACAAATATACATGACATAATGCATGGGCGTAACCCTTCTATCTCCTTTTGTGCTTGTGAAAAGGAGAAGGGGGTTTGACCACCAGAAATGGGTGTGAATAATGCCAAGTGTAAATCACTAGATGTTGTGAGAAAAAGACAATGCGAACCACGAAGCAATAGATTACAAGCCAAGTATGTAATAAAATTTTAACCATACCACTCCAGTTTCATGGTTAACACAAGTCATGTTAACCCGAGAATGAAAACGAACAGTTGGTGCCTTCTCTGGGTAATCTTTATCACAGAACAGTTTCAACTGATAGATCCGACCTTCATGTACAGTCTGGAAAAAAGGAGGAAATATTGCATTAAACAGAAAATACATAGAAAAGCATATTTTTATTGTTTTGGTATGCTAAAACACCTTTGGGAAAAGAAATGTTGCCTGAATAATAGAAAGAATCATCTCCAAAAGGTTTTCTGTTATATTTAAAGGTGGCCAAAAAAGGGCTTCCTTCTTTTATTTGCGAGATTTGAAAAGACCATGTCCAATTCCCGCTCCCAGAAATGCACCTTCCTTTACCAAAATAGATAAGTAAAGAAAAAAGAGACTGGACAAGTAAAGTCGGTTTTTAAGCGGGAACAAGTAACTTGCACCAGCTGTTAAAACAGTGATTTGTACTCAGCATTTGCTGAAATATGCAAATATATTAGTTAGTTTAGCCCAAGCTGAACACTAAACAGAGATCCTATCACTCAAATTAGTTGGTAGAATCTGGTCTGCTTTCCACAACCACAAGTCCTTTCAAAGTCTTAAAGCAGGGACTACTTCCACCAAATTTAAATAGACTTATCTTAAATTTGGGAGAGATCACAAATGCAACACAATCTTCTCCGATAAGCACACATGAAACACATAATCTGCCAAAACAAACTTTAAACAGGAACATGACATAATCTAAAAGAGAAGTGAAATTTACATTGTGGGGACCGATGATGGTGCCAGTCCAAGAACGCATGTAGATGTCATCTCCGTCATCCATCCCATAGCTGACAGTGCCGTCCCCAATACCCTTTTCTCCACGTTCAAGTTCCTCCAGCAATCTGAAGTTTCGTGGAACTGCAAGAAAACTCAAGGGTTATACACGGTTGAAAGTATAAGGGAACATAACCTAGCATTATGAATTATATATTCCTTTATTCACAGTTTTCGGAATGATAAACACAAACACAACCACAAACCTATATGCAGAGAAAACAAATCATGCTTGGATTGAGCGCAAACTTAGTTGGAAGCCTCAAATTTCAATGGATAATAACTAGAAAAAAAAGTTCAAAGACAAAAACTACTTTGGTTTATAATCTACACAAAATATAAATTGAATATACAAAAAAAATTGATTTTTCCTCATAAATGCTCTAGACAAAGGCGAACACAAAGTTCAATCTTACATTTCAGGGTTAAAATACTGCAGCCACAAAATTATTCAGAAATGAGCTTAATATTTTGATTGCAATAACACGAATGAATAAACATTATAAAGAAAAACACACAATTAAATGAAATTTAACAAAAACCCCAGGTGAAAAATCAATAATTTAATCAACTACAGGCCAAGGTCACCTACCCACATGCGAAATCACATCAAACGGGGCATAAACCCCAAAATCAACAAAAACCCATTTGCACACTCGGTCAAAATTACACAAGAACAAAAAGATCAACGCAGAATTCAATCAAACGACGACATGGGTTTTGATAGACTCACCCACGACACTCGATCCTCCTGAGCCCAGCGTCATAGATGATGATCAGTTGGGTGGGTGGGTGGGGGTGGTTTCTCAGATGGAGGTGCCGAGATCTAGCGGAAGGGAGAGATAACGGAGGAGGGCGGAGGGGGTCGGACCGGCGGAGGGTGAGGAATTTGAGAGAATCTGGAGAGAGACTAAGGCGACGAAGGCAAAGTGGGAATAAAAGAGAGTCGAGGGCAATAGGGATTTTGTTAGGTTACGAAGAAAGATGATGGGTTGGGATTTTATGCATTTTTGGGAATTAAGTGCGACTCTTTCTTTGCAACTTTCTTAGAGAAGTATTATTAATATTTTAAAAATCTTATTATATATTTTTTGTGTATTTTTATTTTCAAATATAAAAAATTTAAAAATGTATAATGAGATTTTTCAAATACTAATAACAATTCTTTCTTATTTTGCATTTTGAAAATAAAATAACATAAAACAAAAGTAAAATATTGTTTTGAATCACAATTTTACATAATTTGAGAGCATCTCCAATATTAAAATTTAAATAAAGTTCCCACAACCATATAATTCTTAAATAGAAAAATAAAGAGCAATGGATCGAATAGTTATTTATTATTTTAATATGTAAAGAGATTCGTAAAGTACTTTGAAGTTGTTATGTTTGAGGGATTAAATTGGAGGCGACCGATCCAATTTTTAATGGAAGAAGATGCTCTCCTTGCGCAAGCTGCAGAGCAGACATGACGAGAAAGCGTCAAAAGCAGCCATGACGAGAAATTTAATTCTCAAATAAAGTTACTATTATGGTAAAGGATTACTCGTAAGACGTTAATTAATAATATTATTTCACGATGGATTAGCGAACGATATTTAAAAGTCTCTTATTATGAAGGTAATATTCTTTAAATGCAAGATGATCTTTTGATTAAAGAGTCCTCAAATGCTATTACAGACTTTATATCAATGTGTCAGTCATTTATCCAAAAACGGTTATAACGGTAACAAAAGATAGTATTAATGTTTTCTAATCGAGAAGCCAAATCTGATGTGGCATGACATAGATTGACATCTTTCTCCCTTGTTGCCAAATTTGACAGCACCTTCGGATTTTTTTAATTAATTATTAAATGCTTTTTATTAATTTTTTATTGGTTTAAACCATTATCCTTTTGTTTCTTTTCATTCCCAATGTAATATATATGAATTATTATTTTATGTTTAAAATTTGACATATCGGTTGGAGATCAAAAGTTTAAAAGATACCAAAGTGCCACGTAAGCCTTCAAATTTAAGGGGGTGTATTTAATTGGGATTTTAAGAGATTTTAATTCTTTTAATGAATATAGGGGTATTCAATCAGGATTTTAAGTGATTTTCTAAAATTCAAAGTGTATCCAATTAGAATTTTAAGATAATTTATTAAAATCCTTAGAAATCTAGTTGTATTCAATTAGGATTTTAAAGAAGTTTATAACATTTTAGGTGTATTCAATTAGAAATTGATTTTAAAGAATTTGTTAAAGTTGAGGAATTAGAAGGAATTTGAGAGAGTTCGTAATGTTTTTTAAGCATCCACAAATCTCACATCTCCTCATGAGATTTTGAGGGAATTGAATCGAAATTTTATATAAAATCTTTATAAATCAATTAAACTGCATAAAAATCCATGGACTTATAAATCCATTAAAATCTCTCAAATTCTCAATTGAATACATCCTCTAAATTTTAGATTTAAAATTTAACATCTCTTTTGAGATGATCTTATTATTGAAGGCAATATTCTTTTAAATGCAAGACGGTCTTTTGATTAAAGAGTCCTCAAATGCTATTACAGACTTTATAAACACGTGTCAGTCATTTATCCAAAAGCGAGTGGCGTTATAATTTTTGAGCCTTTGGATTAGACTGACGGCTGAGTTTTGGTTTTTGCTGTGTCGCGGAAAAAAAAACCTTTCAGAGCATCTCACTTTTAAGTTTGCCGTTTGCCGCCGAAAGCCAAACCGTCCACGACCTCACAGTCCCACTCTCTCTCTCTCTCTTTCTCTCTCTTACAGTAAGAGGGATGCTCGGTCTGACTGCCTCTCTGGCCGCCGCAACGCCACCCAACGCCACCGCCACAAATTCTTGTATCATTCCAAACACCCGTCCTCTCCTGCTGTCCTCCGACGCGCAAATACGAACCAATTCCTCATCGTCTTTCACGGTTGCAATTTCTCTGTTTTCATCATATTGTTATTCACTTACATATATATATATATCCATGAAAATATATATATATATATATCATATATGTGTGCTTGTTTGTGTATACAGTGTTGCTCAGTGAGGAACTTGCACTCAAGTTGCAGAATAATTAAAGCCATGGCGGCGGCTGAGGAGACCCTTACGGTCACTAACCCTCCCTCACCCCTTTCCGGTATGCTCCTTGCTCCTTTTGCGTTTGTTTTGATAGTTTATTTATTTATTTAAGAGTATTCTGTGTTCTTATTTAATTTTTGTGCTTTACAAAAATAATTATGCACATATTTATTAATAATATGTTTCAAGAGAGATTATTTGTGGGAGTTTTACGTAATTAAATATTGGTTTCAGGTAATAGGCAGGCTCTTATATCATTGTCAGACAAGAAGGATCTTGCTGTTTTAGGAAATGGGCTTCAGGACTTGGGGGTAATTTCAGATGTTCTACTTTTTTCGCTAAATATTGATAACGTTTGGCGCAGATCTTTAAGAAGATCGCTTTGTAATGTTTCCAACACTTTTGTCTCAAGGAGCTCTTGTTATGAATCATTGTCTTTACCTGTTAGTCTGCTTTCAAATTATATTTTCAGTTGCATTATTTGAGTAGGATATATCAAACGCTGATATTTTAGCTTAAATGGTGAGTGCGATATGTTTTTCATGATGGTTGTTTTCTGAAACGGTAGATATAAAATTGTTTCGACTGGAGGAACTGCATCTACCTTAGAAAGTGCTGGCCTGCCCGTCACTAAGGTGGAACAACTTACTAGTTTTGGTAAGCCTGTTATTTTTCTTGTTTGGAAATTGCATAAGAGAGGTTTTCCTTGCTTGAAAACTAACACTGTGAAATATCTGATATTGGGGATATTAACTCTATTGTGTATTAAAACATGACTAAGATTTCGGTTGCAGCTTGATGGTCGTGTAAAAACTTTACACCCTAACGTACATGGAGGTATCCTTGCTAGAAGAGACCAAAAGCATCACATGGAATCTCTTAGTAAGCATGGAATTGGTGAGTTCTGCTGTAAACTCCAACACGCACATGCAGTCTCTCTCTCTCTCTCTAATGCTCTGTTTGTTGGGAATAAGTTATGACAATAAAAATATATCTCCACAATATTGTACAGGTACATTTGATGTGGTTGTGGTGAATTTGTACCCCTTTCACGAGAAGGTTACTTCAACAGGAGGAATAGAGTTTGAAGATGGAATTGAGAATATAGATATTGGTGGTCCTGCCATGATAAGAGCAGCCGCAAAGGTTGTTTATCTGAATGAAGGTGCTTTCATGAATCAAGTACTTTCATCGAAATATCATTTTGTAATTCTCTCTTTTATTCCATCAATGTGAATCTCATTATTTTGTAATTCTCTATTTTAATCCATCAATGTGAATCTTATTTGTAGGTACCTAGATATGAACTCTGTACTGCATCCTTGGTGCTAGTCTCCGATCCAACACATCCATAGAAATCTTGATACATATTGATCCCAGAAACAGTGATGCAGAATATATCGGTTATGCATTTGGCTTAGCAAGGAAAGTGAAATACATTTTAACATTATGCCTTGTCCAATGTATTACTGCTTATTGTTGTTTGATGTAGTTACACTTTATTTTTGTTGTTCAATGTATTTCCCATTTTCCCAACACAATCCTTGTATCACGAGTAGTACCTATACTTGTCTGAATATCTTTATCTGATATTCCAAGTTAAATATGTTTGTCAATCAGAATCACAAAGATGTCTTGGTGGTGGTTGATTCAGAAGACTATCCCGCACTTCTTGAGTTTCTTAAGGGAGACAAGGATGATCAACAATTCCGAAGGAAGCTTGCATGGAAGGCTTTCCAACATGTAGCTTCTTATGATTCTGCAGTTTCAGAATGGCTTTGGAAGCAGACTTCTGAAGGTACTACGTCTTTGATGATCTTGCTTTTATTTATAAATTTTCTTTGATAAGGCAAGGATTAACGATGAACTATACAGTCTAGACTCTAGGTTGATTTTTATTATGTGTATTTGTGCATTTAATGTCTAAGTAGACAGTAGAATCATAATTAACATGCCCCATCATCAGTTAGGTTGCAATCTGTTGAGTCAACATTTTTCTTTTTGAGTACAGATATTGTACACTAATCTACACTAAGGGGAGTGGGGATGGTTTGAACTTGAAACACAGTGGGTTGAAGATCACCAGGGCAATCCACCACTTGCAAGTCAACAATTTGATATTCATAAAAATGAATTATGAGTTAGCTGGAAAGGACCTTGAAGAGAGAGGAGGGAGGTTCATCTAAGTACATTGCAATAATATCTTTGATCACCATTTTGATGTTCATGATAACCTTGCGGCATTGAGGGGCAAAGACCATGGTGGTGAGGGGGGACGGAGAGGGAGGCTGGGAGATCTTAGTTTCTATGAAAATGCACTTAAATAAATTTGCTTCTGTCACTTGTTGTGACTTGTGATGGGATGCATTGATGGACAAACTCCCTTTCTTTTTTTTTCCTCAAGATAAATTCCCTCAGAGCTTAACAGTGCCTATGTTGCTTAAAAGTCCCCTCTGTTATGGTGAAAATCCTCATCAGAAGGCTGCATTCTACGTTGACAAGAGTCTTTCTGAGGTGAATGCAGGTGGTATTGCAACTGCTATCCAACACCATGGGAAGGTAAGATAGACATCTTCCTTTAGCTATTTGATTCCACGTAAAGTAAGGAATTGCTAGGGATTACCCTGCATCCTTATTTTACTGAATCATTATCAGCATTTATGTTGATGAGGAAACCTTAATATATTTTTATTGAAAGTATCAGGCAAGATTGGAATAGAAACCCACTCACTGAATTTAGTCTCGTATTATTGTTGTTGTTGTGGACATGCAAATCATTCAAAGTAGCATGTTAAAAGGAGTGAATTCGTTCACCATATTTGCTTTTGAATATAGATTTTGGTGGAAGTATTTGCTTTCCAATATATAAAATTTTGACAGTATTGAAGTACATGAATATAATATTCACTCAAGCATAATTATGATGCGGCTGTCAGTGCATGTGACTGATCTTTTCCCAGTAGCACCATATGTGGAGTTCTTTGATATTCTGAATGTTAGTTGGTGGGAGGAAAATATTTGAATTGGTCTTTGTAACTGGTCCCTCTTTTGAATGTTTACAAAGTAATCAGTCTCATCCGCTTTAAACATTTTAGTTTCTGCATGCAGGAAATGTCATATAATAATTATTTGGATGCCGATGCGGCTTGGAATTGTGTGTCAGAGTTTCAGAATCCTACCTGTGTAGTTGTAAAGCATACAAATCCTTGTGGCGTAGCTTCATGTGACGATATTCTTGAAGCATACAGGCTTGCTGTCAAAGCAGATCCCGTGAGTGCATTTGGTGGCATTGTAGTGTTCAATGTAGAGGTTGATGAGGTGAGTTGGAGTTATCCGGGTCTGACCTCGAATTTATATATGAGACGAGATCCAATTTACTATGTACCTTTCAAAACGTTGGTTCACCAAGTTTGTTGAAGTGCAGTGGAAGTAGTTAGTCTGGCACTGATGTCTTTTAATGAAAAACTGTCACTAAATTGCTATTCTCTTATTTATAATTATTTTACTGAAAACAAAATTGAGAATATCACCTAAGATAATTAAAACTTATACCACTTGAGCCAAGACTTGAATGGCTAGCTAAACCACTTTCTTTTCAGTGATAATTGTGCCGTGCACGTTGAAAAATTTGATTGGCAAATGATTTAGTTGAAAAGTTAGCCCTGAGAAGTTTAAATGTTTACCTGTTTTGTGGTTCGCTCTGTTTCTAAGTCCTTTATTTCTGTTATTCTAGGCTGTTGCTAAGGAAATCTGAGAGTTTAGAAGCCCAACAGATGGCGAAACCCGGATGTTTTATGAGATTGTGGTTGCACCCAAGTACACAAAGAAAGGGCTTGAAATCCTCTGCGGAAAATCAAAGACTCTAAGGATCCTTGAGGCAAGAAAAAATGAGAAAGGAAAGCTTTCACTTAGACAGGTTGGTGGTGGGTGGTTAGCTCAGGACTCGGACGATTTGACCCCTCTAGATATACAGTTTAAAGCTGTTTCACAGAAGGCTCCACAAAAGAGTGAGCTTGCTGATGCAGAGTTCGCATGGTTGTGCGTCAAGCATTTCAAAAGCAATGCAATTGTAATAGCAAAGGTTGTCTTTCTTTGCTTCTCCTTTAAAACCTCGGCTTGCTAACATTTACTATATTTTTGGTATGCCACTTTGAGTGAATTGATTGGTACTTTCTGAACAATATTGGATCCTTGACTTATGAGCAGAATAACTGCATGCTGGGCATGGGAAGCGGGCAGCCTAACCGCCTGGAGAGTTTAAGAATAGCCTTGAAGAAAGCTGGAGAAGAGGTCAAGGGTGCAGCTTTGGCCAGCGATGCCTTTTTCCCATTCGGTAATTACTAGCACATGCATTAATTTTTGTTTATGTTATTTAAGAGTCGAGTGCAAGCGGAAGTTTAATGAGGTCAATTTCGTATGCATGCAGCATGGAAAGATGCAGTGGAAGAAGCTTGTGAAAGCGGAGTTAGTGTAATTGCAGAACCCGGTGGGAGCATTAGAGATGGGGATGCTATAGACTGCTGTCACAAGTATGGAGTTTCACTTCTTTTCACAAACGTTAGGCACTTCAGGCATTGATAACGATTTTTGCCCTTGGTGCTTCCACCTTAGGACCTTAGGTCTGAATCTGTTGTTTCAATAAGATAACTAGGTTTTTCTTGTGGAGTAGTTCCTGTAGACATGTTTGTTTGATATCGAGGCAAATCATAATATATGTTTATGTAATTTGAATGCTGATTTCAGGTAACATAGATTTATAAACTATGTATGCTTGTTATATATTGTTGATCTTCAGGTGTAGTTGCATGAATTTAATTTGTTTTCGGTATATTCTTTTTGTTGGGATTGTTTGCTAGAATCAATGTACTCACAGAAGATACTGTCAAAGAAATTCTCGTGTCTACCTAGAGGGTAACGCTATTCGTAGGCCCACACACAACCAAGTGAACCGTCTGCATGAGATTGGTAAAATCGGGCTAGTGTGGTCCCGAGTACAAAGGCAGTCTTGCTTAGTTGTGTGAGTGGGTGTATGGATGACATGATCCTCTAAGTGGACACAAGATTTTCCCGTAATGCCATGGTTGATAAACTGTCTGCATTGGGCTTTCTGAGACTTTTGGGATGATACAAGCTTGAGTCTCTGCTGATATTCGGTGACAAATTGGTCTGTGAAGATATTTGTAGGGCTCTTAAAGGATGGCTGTAGTCCTTGTTACATTCATAGTCTGATTGAAAGCTAGAAAAATATTACAGCCCCAAAGTAAGACTTATTCTTAAGGGTTTGCAAGCCCATCAGCTGCAATATTTTGTTCACATCTCTTTTACGTGCATGCGAATACGTCAAGAAAAAGATAGAAGTGCTCTCTCTGATGTGAGATTTTTCAAGATATATGATATGTAGGTAAAACATTATCTTATGATTGGCGCTGAGTTTCTGAAGGCATTCGCAACAACGATTCTTGGAAAGACAAGCGAGTATCTGCATTGGTGGGTAATTAAAGTTAAAGGCCAATCATTTTATAATTTGATCTTTCTGAAAATGAAAGTTAAGACAAGTGAGCATCCGCATTGGTGGGTATGAAAGTTGTTACTCAGTATTACGATCTAATAGTATTTATTTTCACTTGGAAGTGAGAGTTTTTAGGTTCGAATCTCGTGAATGGCGAATTTGATACCAAATTAGGCTGCCCATTGTGTAACTTTGCCAAACTTCCCCTCTTCTTAGTATAAAAATATTGATGTACACAAAAAAAGAAAAAAAGGAAAGTTAAGCGCTTTGTTTTTACCAAATAGTTTGAAGCATTATTTCAAAATAATATCTTTATTTAATCATTCTACACATTTTACAACACTTTGCACAAAAGTCCAAATCCTTCCCATCAACTAATTCGGACTTTTAAAATTTGATTCAACGGCTAAAAATTGGGGGTCCACTTTAAAAGTTATAATAACTTTAGCCGTTAAATCAAATTTGAAGGGTCCGAATTGATTGATGTGGAGGATTTGGTGGAAGGGATTCGAAGATGATCCTTTTCCCTATAAAACTGCTAATTGTACTTACAACAAATTTAAAATGGAGTTTACGACGCAGCACGAAGCAATGAAAGAATGACCAGCGTAATCCCTTATAGAACAAAGTCTGGAGTCCACCAGAAGTTGAGAAAATCCCAAAGGATAACTTGATTAATTGATTGAAAGATGAAAGATGCTTACAAATGAGAAGCCAAATGGCTTAAATAAATAAATGCAACCTCCAGCAACATCTCAAAAGACTTAGTAATTAACAAAAACTAAAAGAGATAATAATGCCCTTGAAACCCCAAAAGACAAATAATAAAAAGCTCCATTTATTAGTAAGCTGCTGCTGTTGACGAATTTTTGCAAAAGATGACTCAAGCCACTTTTGTAGGAGAATTGAACACCACTTCTATGACCACATCACGGTCCCAATTCTGACACCAGAATATTTGTTGCGGCCTTTTATGTCGCCATATCGAATGAATCCATCATTTTTTCAACTTTAATCCTTGTTTTCCAGAATTTGAAACATTTTATTTTATTTTTCTTTCTTTGTTGAAAGTGACCCGTATATTGTCTTACATCAGATTACCAAACGCCAGACCTTTTTTTTCCACAATTAATTTCTCACACTGCACTTTCAAAAGTGATTTTTCTCACAGCACAGTCGAACTAATTTTATAATATTAAATAATATATAAAAAATTTATTTTAATTAATTAAGATGTTGAATGTAAGCAATCGAGTCATACTTGTCTACCAAAGAGAAAAAAAGAAAAAAAAAATTGTGGATGTGAAGTCCTTTCTTGACTTGTAAGTCAAGTCTATTGTATTTTGATACAGCATATGTGGTTAAGATCCAATCATTCAAGGGAAGGATCACTTTTGGCTTCTGCTTGCAGCAATCTCTCTCTTTTGTTGCAATTTTATAAAGAGATGGATACGAAAATTCTACTCTGCTATACGTTGAGATTTTTGTTATGCTGTACCTTCATTGCTTGTATTTCCATGGCGTCTCACACCATCTCTCCAGGTCAATCTCTCTCCGGGGCACGAACAATCACTTCTCCAAGTGGAGCATTTGAGCTGGGTTTCTTCACACCAGGTAATTCTCGAAACAGTTACGTAGGCATTTGGTACACAAATGAAACCATTAAGACCGTAGTTTGGGTCGCAAACAGAAAACAACCTGTTTCTGAACCGAAACTTTCAGTATTAGCACTTGTCGAAAATGGAAACTTGATCTTAAGTAGCCCCTCCGAAGTTGCAATATGGTCGACTAATTCAAGATCAAAGGTCTCTAATTCGAGTGTAGCAAAGCTTCTTGACAATGGGAACTTTGTCATAACAGATGCATTTGATTCGTCTGTTGTTATATGGCAGAGTTTCGATCACCTGTCGGATACTTGGCTGCCGGGTGCTGAGTTGGGATACAATATCGGACCGAGAAAATACTAGTTCTTACATCCTGGAGAAACGTGGAAAGTCCTGCACCTGGTCCTTTTTCTTTTGAGCTGGATAGTTACCCATTAATTTGCCTGACTATCGTGGTGCCTTTATTAGAGGCACACTTGAAATCAATGGTCAGCTCAGGTTTTATGCCATGCACCAAGGCTATGGGGGATGGACCTTGATTTCAGTTCAACCAGTGAACCAATGTGAGGTCGATGCTTTGTGCGGTCCTTTTGGTTCTTGCTACCAGTTCGGTTCTCCTGCTTGTGGTTGCCCCGAAGGATTTGAACCCAAGGTCATGGAAAATTGGAGACTAGAAGACTTCTCAGATGGCTGTGTGAGGAAAACTCCTTTTCACTGCAGTCCTGGGGAAAGATACTCATTTTTGGCAATAACTAATGTTGCATATGGATATCCTAATAAGTATGAGACAATTTCGAATGTAAGCAATGATCAATGCAGATTAGAATGCTCAAGAAAGTGCTCATGCGCTGCCTTTTTTTATAATTCTTACGATAGTGGTCGGTGTTACATGTGGATAGGGGATGTATATAATGTACGGGGAACATCCGAATCAAGTTATAATTCGGTACGGCATAGGATTAAAAATACCGCTTGTGCATCCTACAAGTGAGACGAAGAGAAAGACTACTTGGATTGTACTTGGAGTACTTGCAGGGTTCTTTTCCATCTTAAGTGCTGTCACTCTCATGGTATTTTTTAGAAGGAGATGGTCAGCGGCAGCATTGGCGACTACTAATGATTCTTTGGTGCTTTACAAGCATAGAGATTTAAGAAGAGCAACAAAGAACTTCTCCGAAAAACTCGGAGAAGGAGCCTTTGGTTCTGTATTCAAGGGGATGCTGCCTAACTCAACAGCCATAGCAGTGAAACAGCTGAAATGTATGGACCAGGGAGAGAAACAATTTCGTGCTGAAGTGGGAACTATCGGTGTAATCCAACACAATAATCTTATTCGCATGCGGGGATTCTGCACGAATGCTTCAAAGAGGTTTTTGGTTTATGACTACATGCCAAATGGTTCTCTGCAATCTCTTCTACTTGGAAAGAACCCGACAATGTTAGATTGGAAGGCTAGATATCACATTGCAGTAGGGACTGCCAGAGGATTGGCTTACCTCCATGACGAGTGCAGAGACTGCATAATACACTGCGATGTTAAGCCGGAGAACATCTTGTTGGATTCAGAATACAGTCCGAAATTGGCAGATTTTGGTCTTGCGAAACTTCTGGGGAGACATCACAGCCGGGTTTTGACAACCATGAGAGGAACTGTGGGCTATCTCGCACCAGAATGGTTTTCGGGTGAAGCCATCACGCCAAAAGCCGATGTGTTTAGCTATGGCATGTTGCTGATTGAGGTCATATCAGGGAGGAGAAACAGAGAAGGGTTAGATGACGGGATAGAAAACTTCCATCCTATCCGCCTCGCGAATGCAGTTAATAAAGGGGAAGATGTTTTCGCCTTGTTGGATTGCAGGTTGGAAGGCAAAGCTGACAGAGATGAACTAAGTAGAGCGTGCAAAGTGGCTTGTTGGTGCATTCAAGAAGATGAGAAGGATAGGCCAACAATGAGGCAGGTGATTCAAATTCTTGAGGGAGTTTCGGACATCGGTGTTCCGCCAGTCCCGCAGTTCCTCCAGCGCCTTATCGGAGGTCCATCAGAAGGCATTAAGTACCAGGAGACTACGTCCGGTTCGGGTTCATGGTCATGCTCCGATGTCCAAAGTGCATTTCAAGCCCAAGTCAGCAACTGTGCAACTAAAAGTCATGAGGATGAGATGAAGAACGTGAGGGTTCTTGTATTATGATTGTATGTTTAACGTTGTGTTGAAGGTAGTAAGTTTTTGAATATTTCCAGTTCAACAAATGTTGGTAATGTAATGAGATATTATTAAATAAGGGAAACGATTTTCGCGTTCTCCACCGACCCCCCTTTTTGTTTCTTTTTCTTCCGAGTCATTTCTTTGTTTCCCTAATTTTGCTTGAATTTGTTCAATTTAACCGCTAAAAGATAAGTTAGCAGCACAAAGAGAGCGCAAAAATCATTTTTCTTCGTTGAAAAAGAAATTTCTTGATTAAAGATGGGTTATTGGAGTTACAAATCCTAGACAGACATGAAATCAGAAATCATGTCTTTATCAACTTTGTCAAAAAGTGCCATGACTTTGGCTGCTCACGTCTTTTCCATCGTAAGTGTTGCCACTGTCATGGTATTGTACAGAAGGAGATGGTCAGGACTGATACTGTTGAGTAAACCAAAGTCTGTCATCTGTCCCTTGATTTAAGGAGTCCATTTCCTTGATTACTGTATCTCAGAATGCTTTCCGTCTACTTAGGGGTCTAACTCACGTAATAGCTTGTATAGGCCTTAATTTCAGGATCTTGATTGATCCATGTATCTGTATAAGTCTCTCTTTGTACCAATTACTTTTTACTCAATTAATGAAAACAAGTCACAAAGCAGGTTTTCACAGATACCCTTCTCTATCATAACCTTATAAAGCTTGTTTGCCTCTTCCAATTTTCCGTCTTTACAATACGTGTTAATCATCGTGCTAAACGTGACCACATTTGGCTTCGGACCAACCCTTAGTAATAGAGTAAAGAAATCTCCGTCGCCTCCTATCTGATTTTCTTTACAAAGACGTTTTAAACTCTTGATAGAAGCAACAATGTCAAGCACAAAGCCTCTGTCAATCAATCATAACAAACTCATACACAGAAAACTGTTGGCCTCTCAATGCATTACAGATTTCTCCATATGTATGGAGAATCACGTGGACACGGTCCGAATCAACCAAACAAGTCAGCATTCTTGACAACGCATAAGGAGACACCGGCACTCCCAATTTATACATACGACCTGAATACATCAACAGACGAATCCAACATTCCATTTCGACAAAAATTCTCAATCAGAAAGCTACAAACAAGACTAAAATCGGAGCTATGGTTCTGAAAACAATCAGAAAATGCATCAAAGAAGTGAAACTGAGTCCCGAACTGGCCTACCGATGTTTTGAAAAGGCGGGAAACCGGTGCGAGCATCCGGTGGCGGAGCAGCAGGTGAAGGAGGGCGCAGAAGGACTGCGGGTGGTGGTGCAAGCCGAGGGAGCCGCAGGCCCAATCGAAGAAGCCGAGGGCGGTAATGGGGTTGGATTGGAGGGAGAGGAGGATGGGGTGGAGGTGGTGGGGTTGTAATTTGGAGAGAAAAAGAGGGTTTGAGAGTTTGGGGTCGTCTTGGAGGAAGGCGTTGGAGATGTAGTGGATCACGGTTTTGGATGAGAATAAGGACAAAGTCGATTAGGGGAGGAGAAAGCGGCACGCGACGTCGAAATTGTCGGCGTTTGGAGACTTGAAGTCGATAAAGTCGATGGGGGTTCAGAGGAGAAGCACTTGCCAGCATGACATACGTTGATCAGGCCACCGTCACCACCATCACCAAGGGCCAGTTGCATGGTTATAGGTGTGTGCCCATTACCTGTTTGATGAAATGCCCAGAAAAATTATATGAAGTAAATAGTATCAGATTGATTTTTTAATGTAAAAATATAATCTTCGTTAAATTTTAAAATTTACCCCCATAAACTCAAAAAAAAAGAGAAAAAAAAAGAAGAAGGTTTAAACCATAAAAAAAAAAAAGGCAAGTGATCATTTTTCTGGCGTTGAATCACATGACTGCCCGGAGGAAGATGTTACAAAATTCTGCTGATGGTTATTCAAAGATTGTAGATTTGCTAAGCCGGTTTGCAATTCATCATATGAATGCTAGCTTCTCCTGCGGATAGGTGGGTTGCTGTTAAACTAAGAAACTTGTCTTTCTTACTTCACCGATCTTTTTCATGGCTAGAACTAGCTGCAAATTCACAAACTAAATCTTTTTGTGTACTATTACTATCAGCACGGAGCTGCCAGAGAGGATGTTAATTCTGCTTCCACAACATCACTGATTGATGCAATTCGTTCTGTTTATATGGGGGTGTCAGTTGCTCAGAGTCTGACGAAAGTAGATGGTTCAGGTAAAGATCCTTCTAGCTCAGTTTTGAAGATGGATGGCTTTATCTCAGATTCCAATGATTATGAGTACTGAAGCAGTCCCAAACAACCTAAATTTAAATGACGGAGTCATCTCTTCAATTGTTGTTTACTTTATAGATCTTCTTTGAACAATCTTTAAAGATTGGGATTGAAAGAGAATTAGATTTCTTGCTTCCTTGAGGCCGTCTTTGTTACAACACTTTTACAGATTTCTTTTGGTGCCATTCATCTTGAGTAGTCTGTAGCTTTGTAACGAGTGTGGCGGCCTGTTCTTGCATCTTTTTGTTTGATTTGGTTTAAGCTTTCCGTGTTTTGTTTTGTTGTACGTTTGTTTTTATGGATTTCTTGTCCTTCCCTTGTTGTAGTTTATACTTTCATCTTCTATAAATTTTCGTTTCCTATCGAATAAATTGTTTCTGAAGACAAGTTTACTAATACATGAATTATTTCTCAATGAAATTACAGCTAAGAGCTCATGTATCAGCAAGTTCTGCGTCGGTTTGCCTATCTTAATGCTATACAAATAAGTGAGCCATCCCCACTGAAGGAGTTGATCGTGTTGGCACTAAAAGAGGGGGAGGATCCAGAATGCAGTGTGAATAATGAACTGAATGAGAAGATTGCAGAGGTAATGTATGTGCTCTCTGTTCCAATATAGTAATATGTTAAAGTACTGTTCAGTCCTACAAAATGATCTTAAATTTTTGGAAGTATTTATACCAAGTACAGCTAGATAGTAAGAAAGGATCTGAACCATTGTCCAGCATTAAAAGGAGAAATTGTGTATATTCGAGGCTGATCGGAATCTTGATGTAGTTTGATTAAAACCAATGACACGAATAGATTGAAGATTTATCTCCTAGAATTCTACCTTTGCTTTGTGCTTGGATTGGAAGGTGTCTTTTACTGCTGCTCAAGTCAGCAATCATGACAGTAAGAGTGGGGCTGTAGGGGTACGTTTCAATTTGCAAAACTGCATTCAGCATATCGATGGAGGTTCCTAGGTATCTCTACGGTTGTTTTATCTTCCAAAACGTCATACCCTTTTCCTTCCATTGGTGCTTTAATATCCGGCCACAGGGATCTCCAGGTATTTGATTGATGGTATTCAGTTTTGGGATTAATTTTTTCAATTTGAAAAAGACCAAAACTTGATCAAATAAGAGTTAACTTGTTTGGTCAGGGAATTAGAACTGAATGAATCAATTCGGTTGAAATAAGTTTGAAAACATCTCGTTTGAGCCAGACACGGGCTTGTTTTCCACAGTCGGTACTGCTGGGAACAAGGATGTCATTTCTTGTGATTTAATGCCAGTCTGGAATTGATTCGCAGAGTCACCGGTTATTTCTCTCAAGTACCTTGGAGTGATTTTTGGTGTCGCAGGAGACGACGTTGTCATGACAGAAAATGAAATTGAGCATGAACTAGTTGCGGAGGCAGAGAGTGCATGGGCTCTGCGCGAATGGTCAATCCAGCATGTTTTGTTTCCATCAATGAGGTTCTTTTTCAAGCCACCAAATTCCATGGCTACAAACGGAGCATTTGTCCGGGTATGCTGCATTTCTTTACGATCCAAAGATGTACCTTGACTAATTACTCCTGAATTCTTGAGATTATTTCATGAATGCAACATGTTAGGCTAGTTCGGTGACTCCCCTGTACGTTTAATCTTGTATATAGGTAGCTTCATTGGAGAAACTATACAGGACTTTCGAAGGATGCTGACGCCATTCATCAGTGGCAAACGACAGTACACAGAAGGCTCTTGGTTTTGTATAGATGTTAGACGCCATTCATCGGTATAATTTTGGGAGAAAATACTAGTTCTGTCCATGCCAAGGGGCATTTGTTTTCTTCTCTGAAGGGTGTATATTACAATTAGTAAAATCCATAAAATTACTTGAGTTTTGAAAGTGGCCTTCATTTTTCTTAATGCCAAAATGCACGAGTTGATCAATCTGACGTTATTCTGCCAATCCCGGAGTTCCTCCAGCGCCTTACAGAGATTAGAACTAAAATACTCACCCGCACACCTGAGTTGTGCGCACAACCCGAGTAGATAGTGTATTCAAGGCCAGATGCACATTGGGATCAAGGTGGTTCCAGGACCACTTAAGCCAAAAAACAAGCATGTGAAGGTTCTTCAAGGACCATCTAAAAATATTTATGAGTTTATTTGTTTCCCGGGAAACAAGTCGGGAAACAGATGTTGGCATTTCTTAACAACACTCGATATGTTGCGTTGGCAACAGTCGACAAATGCTCTTAATAACACTCATCAGATTGTTTTGGCATATGTCAACATCTGTCGACATATGTGCAATATCGTTCAAGTGATGACAACAAGCCCACCAAGTGTTCAATGAAATGCTTCCACGAATAAACTGAAATTTGTTTTCGCGCTTTGCACTACGTTTCTATTTTAAAAACTTGGACCTTAAACATTGAAACCTCCAAAGTTCAAATCCTGAATTCGTGACTGAGTGTATTGACGACGTATATTCCCCCTATGCTGACAATATAATGAGAATACACTATCTATATATTATCTATATAGTAGCGATATATTGTTAATACAATATCTACTTGGTTCATAACGCAAACCATGTGACAACACAAGTGGGCGGGTGAGCAAACCTCGAAATTACAATGTGTAGCAGAAGACCAGGAGACTAGACAACTTTCCGGTTCGGGCTTGCTCGTGAGGATCACATGAAGGACGTGACGTGAGGGTTCTAGTTCTTTCTACCACGATGCATGACGTTGTAGTATCATGTATTTCATGCCTGTATAATGTATAATGTATTAGTATTACCTTGTCTTGAAGGTAGTAAGCTTTTGAGAGATTAGGCTTCTTTTGATGTCCTTCCGATGGGGTAAAACATTTTCAAACTCATAGGATCATTTGGCCCAAAATAAAAGTTGATTTTACAATCATATTGTTAAAAACTAATTACACATCTCTAATAAATAGGGTTCAACTTCTATGTTACATAGTACTAAATGTTTCGAGTATTGAATTGTTTGGATTTACGGGATCACGATAAAAACAATAATCTAAGTCATCCAATGTTGGTAGCATTTAATGCTACATAGCATGAAAGAATATTCATAAATATGTATAAGATAAAAATAGCTGGTAGTTAAAATTTATGGAACACAAGTGAGAATTATAACAAAGAGTGCCACTTTAAATTGAAAATGTTTTTGACAAATTTATCCTTTCAGAAATTGTCGAAGGACCTAAACAAAGTTCGGCAAAAAAAAAAAAAAAAAAAAAAATAAAATAAGGCTACATTTATGGTGCAGCCTGACAAAGAGAAAAATACATGTATTTATTAAGAACAAGAACTTTGAAATATCCACAAAAAAAATAAAGTAATAAAAATATCGAAGATGACAAACCTAAGGCCAAAACGACATACTTATAATGTAATTTAACTCTAGAAGTCGAAATCCTAAAATAGGACATAAACAAATAATAAAATACCAAATGTCATAAAGTATCAAAATCTCGTGAGTTTGATGTGCATAGCCATGCTCTTTGAAATGACGTATCATGGGCTAAAATAAGGTACTTGAGCCCAAATTTGCAAAGGTTTGCTCTTTTGACCCGATTTGTGCTTGTCGACTTCATCTTCAATACTCTCAGCCATTTGATCTATCTCAACTTAAAACAAAATTGACAACGCATGGCTGGATATGATGCAACGAAGTAAACATGAGAAAGAGAAAAAATGTATTCTAAGCAAATGTCTTAGAGTAGATTTGAGAGCATTGTACCCAAATGTCAAAAATGATTGTCTCACATGTAAAGTTATCAATAATGTCAGATTCTAACACTACGATATAGTATTATTTCTCTTCGTTTGTCGTTTATTGTTCTACCATTTCATTCCTTCCAACCTTCTAGACCTAAAACAGAAGAATCCAACTTGGCATAACGAACTTTTTACATCTCTCTTTAATTGCTTTTCTTGTGTGACTTGCAGCAAGTTTGCCCACCGGACAGGTATCAGAAAATTCAGAAAAATCGTGACATAATTTCCGCGTAGGTTCGCATACACTGGATATGTGTTCAAGTTCTTGCCCACACACTTTCTAATTTTAGATTACATTTCAATTTCATTCGTTTAGATCGCAGCCTTGTGCTTCAATATTTGGCCCAAAAATTAAATTGCATTGATGGTTTGATGCTTACCATACAAAACTTTGTCCTCCTGCAGTCACCCTAGCCCTGCCTTTGAAGCTATTGCCAACTCAGGCAATGGCCTACAGAAATCAATTTTTCTTCAATTTATTTCCTTGTAAACAAGTTCTTCCATTTTTTTAGAGGTTGGCTCTTCTTATTTTTATGAAAAATAGAAATTTGGACATATATATATATATATATATATATATATATATATATATTCCTAAAAGATGAAGTTGGGCCAAATTCTGTTGAATACTTTAACTGAGAAGGTAAACGTTGATCTTCGTATCAAATACAACAATTTTATATTGTTCTAGAACAAATTAAAAGTAAAAGTAAAGGAATTGCTATTGGAGTTTGACTTACTAGCAAGTAGTAAAAAAAAAAGGTGTCAATCTTATAAGATGATTTGTGGCGTTTTTTTTAGAGTGTTGTTACTGACATTTTAAAAATTTATCGTTCAGTTCTTCTTATACATATTTTCATATATTTTTATAAATATACAGTGCATAAAATAGTTTTTATAAGGTGTTAGAGTGAGTCGTTTCTATCCGAGTCTGATTCGGCATCTCACCTCTTGTCACTTGAGCTAACCCTAATGCTCTTATGGACGTTTAAACTATTATAAAACCCTAATACAAGATCTTATTGTTTTTATTTAATTGTTATTAATGCGAGGAAGGAGGGTTTGAAAATATTACAATAATTTAGGAGAGGGGGAGTTTCGAATTCGGGACTTATGGGTGGAAATCTTGCTTCATTGAATAGTTCCGTACCAGAGTGGGAATGTTCTTTGAGCAGAAACATCATTTTTTCCTTAGAGTGGTGCTATCCACACATCCATGTTTACTATCCTTCTCAATTTTCAAATGTCAGATCGAATGAATTGGAGATGATTAATGGCCAAAATTAATAAGAGTGTATGAGAAGTAAAAATAGATGTGTGAAATCAAAAATAAACTTACTGTGGAGGAGAAAGTGGAAATTAGATCCTTCTATAAATCATAAAACAGTGGAAATACAGGAAGAAGATAAGACATGTATACTTTTCTTGGTTTGAATTGTACAAGTCCATTTGACCATATTAATGATCCTTCGTATTGTCAATAATCCACATGAATTCCTTTCCACCTCATGTTTGTGGTCTGTGGACTCCTTTCTTTCATGTTTTTGTGTCCCACAATTTTTTCTCTGCCTAGATATTTGAATCCATAACTGATTGTTGGTATGCATCACATTTAGATGGATTGTTGTGGTTCTGCTACATGATCGAGCAGAATACAAAATCGAAGGGGTATTTTTTAGCCATGAAAATTTTGTCGAGGACTCTTTTGACTACAAAGTGGCAACCCTAAAGCTATAAATTTTTTTATCTTTTAATTAAAGGGGGACATGCAAGGTGGCGAACCACGGTTATCTATCCCTTCCGGGCCCGAATAAGGCTAGTTAGGAATTGCACTCTACTTCTGGCCACAATCAGGCATATTCACAGCTTACAAAGTTATATTGTTGAATTGCATATTGATAATTTAGCATAATATGTCAGATTGTTGGTTTGACTGTTCATGACAGGAATAAATCTTATGATTATTTGTATACTATATATATATATATATATATATATATATATATATATATATCGTCGATGTAATATTGTGGGGTTGCTTTTGTAGGAAAGAATTAAAAACTGAATACAAGCTCTAAGTGTGGAGAAATCAAATGACAAGAAAAGAAGAAATTGAGTACAAACCCTAATTTTATTCCATTTGACTAAAGCAAAGAAGTATACAAATGGCCGGCAACGTATTACCAAAACAACTATATAATGTAAACATTACATCTTGTCAAGACTTAATTCATGCCAAATTTAACTCAAGGAATGCAATTATAAAATACCAAAAATATCCTAACACAAAATAAACTGTTAACTTGCTAACTTTTCCAACAAGTGTTTCTATTGGAAGTTTTCATTATAAACACGTAGCAATGTTGATAAAAATTCAAGTGCTTAGTGGAAAAATAATTAGTGGTGCTTCTTGAAGAAGCACATGTATAGTAGATGCTTCTCTAGAAAGTGGTTTTACAACCTAGAAGGGTTTTTAATTTGTTGTGTCAAACGCAATCAAAAGCGTAACAACTTTAACTCTTACAGAAGTAATCCTAGAAAGACCTTGAGTATATTTTACACTAAGGCGTAATGAATTTGGGATATGTCAAACAATGGATCTAGTCATAACAATTTAGTATTGAACTCATCAACTTAATACCTCTCATTTACAAGCGAAGAGAAAAATCACTAGACATAGTACTAATAGTAGTTTTTAGGTCAACCTTTGGAAGTAGGAATATTAATTTTTTTACAACTATATTCCACAATAATTAAGAGAAGGCAAGATTCTACTAGAAGGTAGATTAGCTGTGCCATATAATTTATATCTGAAATCTCACATTTATAAATAAAAAGAAATATTATTAGAATGTATAGTACGATTCGATTGGAAGCAAATGGACAAGAAGGATAGAGACAAGAGTTATACCAACTTACCAAAACAGAAAAATTAATATTCAGAGGGCAATAAATAAAATAGAGAGAAAAATAAATAAACTAAGAGAAGTGAGTGAAGGTGGAATTAAATTTATATTTATTATCTGACATAATACCCTTCTTTATGCTCAACTGTCTCAATTACTCTTGCATTTATGTGATTTTAATGGTCTGTCAATCTAATAATATAGTCTCTCATTATTTTTCAATGCTCGAACTACCCAAACCACCCCCACAATCTTAATTATAATCTGTTAGAAAACAGATATGAATTATTTGGAAAATTTGTCAAGTGTTATGGATGCTAGAAGTTAATTAACCAACTAACAAGTTATCGCTTCTTTGATTAAAAAAATTATTGCTTCACCGCCAAAATTGATATCTTTCAAACTTTGATTGTTAGGGTTTAATGTATACAATCACGTCATACTAGTCCTGATAGTTTGTCGTTGTGAAGAAAAAGCGAGAGTCGAAGTTTGGTTATGATGTGTAAACAATTTCTTTACCACTACTGTTTTGATTGTTGATTTATTGTTGTTTTCAAAGAAGACTCTGAATCAAATATTGGTTATGCATCAGAAACAATTCCTCCGTCACTAAAATTCTGATGATTATTGTTGTTTTGAAAGAGAAGAGCAAGAGTCAAACTTTGGTTGTGGATGTACACAGAAACAAATCTTCTATACTAAAGTTATGATTATCGTTGTTAAATTTAAAAGGAAAGAGCAAAAGTCGAACTTTAGTTACGGAGCAAAAGTCGAAATTTAGTTATGAATGCAAAAGCGAGTCATCTATCACTAAAGCTATGCGCTATCGTGGCAACTTTATATGATTTGGTTATGGAATGAAGGATCGTGAGTCGTATATTTGGGTTAAGGTCCCAGGTTGCAATTTGTCCATAATTCGAACAGAAGTCCAGCAAGTTTATATATGGACCCAGTGGCGACCAAAATTCGTACCCTCTTGCCTGAAAAGCTCGATCTGCAGCTTTTAACCAGAAATCAGATTTCGCTTTCAAGCTTTCAAGCTTTCAAGCAAACATTCACTCCAGCAGCAAAAATGAAACACAGAAAAATCTACCTCATGCACGTGGCTGCAGAGAGCTAGGTTTTACCCATGCATGTGCAATCACCTGGCAAGCTGTGATTGGATATGGTAAAACCATATGAAGACAGAAAAAGGTAAGGGCAAAAGACAAATATGACCTGACATTTTTTCTCATATGAAAATGTTGGGCAGTTACAGTTAAAACCGTTGTCATTGTCTTTCTGCTAAAGGGTTAACAAAAGCAGAAACAAACACCTTCCACCCCACCTACCAAATCCCATGGTGCAAGCCCAATTGCCCATCATCCATAACCTAATTTCTGAGATTAGCAAGGTAAATAAAAAAGGTAAAACCAAACAGGCAATGATATTCGCGCTCCACTCATTTCAGATACCTGATTAACAAGGCTCAACCCAATTACCTAAGGATGAATTGAGCCTTGTCCAGGTTAAATATTTTCCGCTATTTTTAAATAGCAAAAAATGTAGTTAAAATGGAGCGCCAATAGCGCTGCCCCCAGAAGGGAAAAAAGGGTTGGAAATAGAAAGAGCCTAACATTAAGTCCTATTAAATTTGAAAAAAAAAAGCCCAAAAAAGGAAATAAAGGGATAGACTACTCTAGCACTTAGCTCTTTTAGCACTTTTTTTTAGCTCCTCCTTGTCTTTGAGGTTGGAGTGGTGGTGGTGGTGGTGTCATGAAGAAAGTCTAGCAAAACAGTGCTCTTGCATTTAGGGCATTTAGGGTCGTCCTCCGAGAGCATCACATACATGAGGCACCTAGGGCATCCGACTAGCATCATGGAAGTGGTCTCCGGGCTGAAATTGTCGTCCTGATTCAGCTCCGACGACACGCATGAGCTTGGCGGTGACGTAGGTGAAACAGTTGCTGATCTTCGTGGTGACTCTGCCAGTTGGTGATTAGCCCTCGGAGGTGATAGGTTCAGCTTTAGGTCAAGCTTCGGACCGCCTCCGTTTCGCCTACTCATGGCTTTGGCATCAAAAAACAAAAAAAAAATAAATAAATAAAAACTTCAGCTCTAATTTTAAATCAAGCACAGCCAAAGTTAAAACATGTAAACACTATGGAATTAAAGAATCATCTATTATGTGAACAAAATAGTGAAAATAAAAAAGGGATGTGTGACACGTAATATTACCGCCGAAATTTAAAGTAGTAATATCGCTTGTACCTTACAATTGTCGAGAGGGCTTGCGAAAGGGAGAAGGAGGATTGGAATATTGGATAACTTGTTTTTGGGGTTGGGAGAAAGTTGGATTAGGCAAAAACCAGAAAAAGATGAGGGAACAAAAACATGGTCATTGGGGAGAGGTGATGTATGGACCTCAAAACACCATATATATATACACACACACCCACACAAAGGGAAGTGAAGGGGAGGGAGAGGAAGATGGATTTGCTTTAATGCTTAATTAAATTATGGGGGAGAGGTGGAGGGTATAGGATGAGAGAGAGAATTGTTTAGAGAGAGAGAGAGAGAGAGAGAGAGTGATAGGAATTAAATTGAATTAGATTGAATTAAAGTATTGGGGTAGAAGAAGAGTGTAAATTGAGGCCAGGAAATGTATTAATTGTTGGAAAGATCCCAATAAGAATGCAGGAAATGGAAATTTGCAGTAAATATTGCTATTACAAATAGTGCAGCACAGCAGGGGAAGGAAGGGAAGGCATTACCTTCATTCATTGCTTAGGCTAGTCGGTGTTTAATATCGGAGAGATGGCCAAAAAAATACAGCACAGGAAAAACCCAACGACTTTAAAGCTAACCCTCCTTCCTCCCTCCACCAAATTTTAAATTAACAAGCAACACACCAAAGAGAATTAAATGGATTTCTTGGAAAATTGAATTGTAACAACTATAAACTCGATTTGATCTCATTTTGCCCCTATAATTCAAAAGTAGTCAATTTACTTCCTAAAATTCAAAATTCGTTCGACTTTACTGTGTTTTCGTTTCTTGTTTCATAGCCGTTAAAGACTAAATTGGAGTGAATTTTGAATTTCATGAAGTAAAGTGACAAGTTTTGAATTTTAGAGGGCAAAGTGGGATCAAAATCAAATTCCAGATGCGTATCTAAAAAAACCCTATTATATACAATTTTACCCATCTACGTTAGCAACTTTAACGACTATTTGATAGAAAACCGGAAATATGGTAAAGTGGAACGAATTTTGAATTTTAGAGAGTAAAGTGACAGTTTTTGAGTTACAAGGACTAAAGTGCAATCCAAATCAAGCGGTAACTAAAAATAAGCATAAAAACTATATCTCAACAACATATCATAAAATGTAATTAAACACTTAAAAACACAAAGGGCCATTTAATTTTCACAACCTGAAATAACATTTCAAGATACAGAAAATTAAATGACAAGCCATGTATCTCCTTCTCTTGTTTTGGTAGCTCAGTAAATACTAAATACCATGGACCGTCTCTCAACTTTAATCTAATTGGAGTGATGGTTCTTCAACTAAAATTTTGTGACCAATGGTCCCTTATCTCATCAAAACATGCTGTTATGGTCAATTTTGTCAACTCCGTTAGAACTTCTATCAAATTAAGTTATGTGACACGCACGTAAAGCTGAATGAAAGGACAAATAAGGAAAACCAAACGAGAAAAATTGTAGCAATGATCCTACAACTTTAACCCAATTAAAGGAATGGTCTCTCAACTTTACCTTATTAGAGCAATGGTCGCAACTTGAACCCAATTGTAGCAATGGTCCTTCCAACATGACTCATTTTAACAGAATTCTGACGAAGTTGACGAAAAGGACCATATATGCACGTTTTGATGAGTTAAGTGACCAATGGTCATGAAATTTTAGTTAAGGGATCATGGCTCCAATTGGGTTAAGGTTGAAGGACCATTGCTACAATTTTCTCCCATGTTTTTATATATTAAAAGTCCACTGCATTAGCTCATTTTATTTGAGTATAGTTACGTTGGTAAGAGCGGTGTGTTTCTTCTCTGCATCCAAATTTGAATTTCTTTCTTATAATTTAAATTAATTTAGTGTAGAACGTATAAAAAAAATCTATATAACATTCTCTTCCTTCTTTCTAGAAAACAAAGATCAAAATAAATTACATTACATCACACGTCTAAATTGAAAGCTCCCCAATTAGCTTAGCTAGTGATATACATAATACATGTCAGGTGTGGTTGGCCAACAATACCTATCACAGAAGTTATGTTGTTATCAAATCTCATAAAACTACTAAATTTACAGTGCCAGGTGTGTTTCTAGGCCTTATTTCATTGATTTTCGAGAGAGAAAGGAAACTGATATATATTAGGGTTTCTTTTTTAAGTCTAAGCTTAGCAGTGGACGTATCTAAATAGACTTTCTAAGTTAGGTATTCCCTACAAATTAGGGAACCCCTTGAATCTTCAATTTAATAATATATACACACACTCGTGTATACTGCTCAAACAAATATGTACGTTTCAGACATAAGTTAGTTAGAGGCTTAGAGCAATGTGTTTCATCTCCTACGTACATTCAAAGTTTGAATCATCTTTCCGTTGTTTAGATAAATTTAGCATATTTATGTTAATCGTATGTTCAAAAATACAACAACAATTATGTATGTTACTATCTGATTTTATTTTTTTTTCCGTTATTTCTTCAATTATGCAGAGAGGGGTAGACTATGTAATTTCCAGTTCATATATTAAAATTGGGTTTAGCATGGTCAATGACTCAATTTGGATGCAATATTGAATGGGTGGGGTGCATTGAGGTGTCCCATCTAAATCAAATTTGCATCACTGTTTTTGAAAAAATGACTCAATCTGGAAATTGCTTGTATAGAAGGATAAAACAAAAAAGGGTCAGTATTTATAAATTTGAAAAGTTCATTTTATTGATTTTTATTTGAAAAAAGTGAAAAAAAAAAGTTGGAAAGGAGATAAAAAAAAAAAAAAAAAACATATTTGTGAAAGTTTAATTTTGCTCATTATGAAACTTCAAGTTCTCAAATTAAGTGTAAGAGTGCAGAAACTTGGGTTGAGTTGTCTGTGCATTATTTGGCGTTAGGCGAGTTTATATTCTTGCTAAGGGCGAGTTTTGTGTTCTCGTTACGTTATAGGCAAGTGTGACTAGTTCTCAAATGTGCTCTCATTATAGTCATATGGATATGTCCTGTTATGTAAATTTGTAGCTTATCTGTATCAGTAACAATTATACATTGGTGGCTGATTTATATGGTTTTAATTACCGTAGGTAGTGTGTTATTCTCTCCAAAAAAATTATGTTGAAATTGGTCACTAAAAATTATTTACTTATATTCAATAATCCATATTATATATTTTTTTATATATAAAAAAAGTCGAGTATTATGTGGTATAGAGCAAATGGTAAATGATGATTTTAAATAAATATTAAGTTTCTCTTATGAAATTCTTATTGAGTATTGATGATATTATGAAATCCAATTCCTATATGGTGTTGTAAATTGTAAGAAAAGAAATGGTTTGAACAAAAAATGAAAAAAAAAAAAATCCGTGAGAAAATTGGCTAGTGATCAAAACATAAGAACTGGCTTCTAATTCTATGTCATATTCTTGATGAGCTTTTGTCTACTTTTCTCATTCGTTACTTACAACATCATTACTCCAAAAACAAACACGTAGCTTGATAAAGTTGCTAAATTACTAATAGGTATTATTATTGGTACTTTAAAAATATCATCACGCCCTCCCCTCTATACAAGTTTTCACTTAAGCACAATATGATTCTTTTGGAGCGCACTCTCCAAGTTTGAGGGGTTTCAAAATGAGTCATGAAGTTTCAATTTTCTCATATTGTACCATGACATTTTGAACTTGTATCAGTTTGTACTTTTCATACATGGTTGATTTAATGAAATTCCACCTACAAGAGAACAAACACCATTACCCTAATTGATAAACACCTTGAAGAAAGGAGAGGGTGTCAGCCAAAGGGCCTCTGATGCCCAAGTCAGAAAAGTAATTTGAGAAAAAAAATGAGAACTTGATAGAGGTATGAGTAGTAAGTTGCGATTACCGTTTCCTCTATTTGACTTGGCTATTTATAGAGACTAAAGCCTAGCAGGCAGCTAGGAGGGGAGGCTGCAGATCATACTAGGCAATCCTTGATGGTGCAGGCTAGTCTCCACAATCTTTTTAGCAAGTAGTTCCAAAGGTCCATTTTGGTAGAAAACCTGGTTCACCGAACATGTAAGGGGAGACTCTGAAGAGTTTGCTTATTGCCACCATTGGGCTAGGTATAACCTGATGGCAAGACATATCATGGAAGGCCCGAAGTGCCCTTGATACGTTGGTGGCCGAAAGGGCTATTACCTACAGATAGACGAATGTCAAATACCCTTGTGGTAATGTGTGGTCTACCCACAACATCAAAGGTAAAATTATCATAGTGAGCCTATGGTCCACGTGTCATTCTCGTATTAGATGTGGTTATGTCTCCCCATAATCTACCTTTAAATTATGTAATAGGTGGGACCCATTCATGGGTTGGTGTCACATTTGAACTATTTGGACCAAATTGTGCAATTGGTTGTTGTTTTGAGACATAAAACATCAATTTAGTAGAAGTAGAAGTAGAAGTTCTATTACGAGTTTTTTATTTCCACATTTGTCTTGCACATTAGCTCGTAAACAGGTCCTAAACTTGTCAAATCCTCAATTTAATAAAGGATCAAACATTCAAATAGCTCAAATGCAACTTTAAATTTTTATTGGTGTAATATGAGAAGATTGAAACTTTGTGGTCCATTTTGAATATCACACCATACTTGAAGGGTGGAAAATGTTAAATAAATAAGACTCAAATTTTTTTGTTAAATATGTAATTTGATTCTCTTGATTTTTAATATAAGTTGTAGAGGTAATTTCTAAAGGGGTGTGCTATCCACAAATATCTTTTTATTTTTCACACAGTTCTTGTTAAATTCTGTCATTTGATCTTCTTCAATTCATCTGATCTGACGGCCGAAAATTAAAAGAGTGTGTAAAAAGTAAAAATGGTGTATGAATATCACACTCCTTTCTAAATTGTAGCAAATCTTAGTAATTGTGAGATCTACATGCACCTCATGTGAGCATATTGATGAAAATTCTAATAGAGTTAGTCTTGAGGATTAATGCTACTAATTATATAATAAAAAAATTAAGTACCTACACATCCGATAATTTAGTTTGAGGACCAAATTGAGATTGCGTCACAGTTCAGAGACTAATTCACCAACTTACTTAAAAATTAACATATCTTCAGGTGCAGAACTGAAATTATAATGAGCTTCAATTTTGCTTAGTCATGCACGCGTACAAACATGAAAAGAAAGAAATTACCCGAAATAAAATAAAGGGTTAATCTCAGTTTATTACCCTGAAGTTTATGGATTTCAACATTTGGTACATAAAGTTTTTTTCATCCCAGAGTCATACCTCAAGTCTTAATTTTGGGACAAATTCATACATCCATTAAGT